TGGTCGTCAGGCGGGGCTGCGGCGGCGCGTTTGGAGAGCGCACGTGTGTGGTGCCGGGAGGGCGAGGAAGAAAACTTGACTTGGAATATATGTTACTAAGTAGAAAGGTCAGACAAAGGGCGGGCAGACCTGGCGGTTAGCCGCTGAGGAGCCGCCGTCCGCCTGTAGCAGAACCTCCGCAGCGGGCTGCGCTGGGTGTAGGCGCTTATTAATAGTTTGCAAGGTGTGTCAGTCCATCCAAGGGGGGAACCCTGATGGTGCGCCCCTTCTCTCGCCTTTTGAGACTTCTGGCCCCACGCCCCCTCCAGCAGCTTGAGCGTCAGGAGAGTGAGGATGCTCCCGGTGACCATGATAAACCTGGGACGTCGCCGCCCGGAGCCTCTCGTGGCTGAGGCCGTGCGCGGAGGGCTTGGGAATGGATTGCCTGTGACGTGCAGAGGGCTTGGGGATGGATTGCCTATGACGTGCAGAGGGCTTGGGAATGGATTGCCTGTGACGTGCAGAGGGCTTGGGGATGGATTGCCTATGACGTGCAGAGGGCTTGGGAATGGATTGCCTATGACGTGCACAGAGGGCTTGGGGATGGATTGCCTATGACGTGCAGAGGGCTTGGGGATGGATTGCCTGTGACGTGCAGAGGGCTTGGGGATGGATTGCCTATGACGTGCAGAGGGCTTGGGGATGGATTGCCTGTGACGTGCAGAGGGCTTGGGGATGGATTGCCTATGACGTGCAGAGGGCTTGGGGATGGATTGCCTGTGACGTGCAGAGGGCTTGGGGATGGATTGCCTATGACGTGCAGAGGGCTTGGGGATGGATTGCCTGTGACGTGCAGAGGGCTTGGGGATGGATTGCCTATGACGTGCAGAGGGCTTGGGGATGGATTGCCTGTGACGTGCAGAGGGCTTGGGGATGGATTGCCTATGATGTGCAGAGGGCTTGGGAAATGGATTGCCTATGACGTGCAGAGGGCTTGGGGATGGATTGCCTATGACGTGCAGAGGGCTTGGGAGTGGATTGCCTGTGACGTGCAGAGGGCTGGGGGATGGATTTCCTAGGAGCTGATTTTGTGGGCTTCTGTGCGAGAGTAGACAGCCTGTTCTAAACGTCTGGTCGGTAATCTTCAGCACATTTCTTTGTAGTATTTGTGGAGGTAGCCCAATAAAATTGTAAGTCATCTTTGCTTAAGTATTAAGTACTGAATCTGTTCTTCAAGCATTAAACTTATTCTTTCTTTAATGAGTTAATGGAATAGGGGCCCTGCATGCGGCTGATGAAGTGCTGGGTGCAGGTTTGTTTTTTTCTCCCCAAGTGGTTGAATGCGGCAATTGATAGAAAACAGCTGCCTCCTTTAAAAGAGTCAACAAACATGTTGAGCAGGAGGTTGGAGTAGTTGAGTTTGTGTTAGGGTGTGAAATTGGGGGTGAGGCTGGGAATAATAATATCAGAAGCAGATGTTTCTGTTTTGGGACAATGGTAGGTCCCTTGGGCTGTACTCCTAATTTCTCAAGATCTGCTTTTTAGAAATTGTCAAATGCCATATACCCATAATTATGTTCTGCATACATCTTTATGGAAGCCTCCCACAGCAATTTAAAATAGTACACTTGATTGGGATGACCAGAGTGGGGGGTTGGGAGATTGGGGTATTAGGCCCAGGTTCTGTGTGGTTAACTTCCTTCCCATGAGTCTTTTTCACTTAACTGGGACTCTGGTGAAAACAATACTTTTTGTGTTGTACTGTCAGTTTTCAAAGTGCTTTTACCTAGTTCAGGATGTGAAATACTAGGGTTGGACTAGGTGGCCTCCAAGGCTCTAGAAAGTCTGGCATTTTGAAACTGGTTGACTTTTTCAAGGCTTCAAGAAAGTGGGTGGCATTTGAATTAGATTAATTTCTTGGACCTCTGAACTAGATTGCCACTATCCAAAACTTTTTAAATGTAGGCAAATCAGTATGTCTTTAAATATCAAACTGCCTAGTGTCCCCACTCAGTATCTGAAGAGAAAGCTCTAATAGGTAAATATTTGTCTATCAGTAGGTAATGCTGTTCGGATAAGAAAACTTTGAAGTAAAACTTCTGGACTGTAGAACACAGTTTTGAAATAGTTGTCGTTTTTATTTCAATTAAGTTTTATTGGGTTAGTTTTATCATTTATAGTAAGGCCATTATTCTGAATGGAATACCATTAGGTGGATCCCAGACCAGAGATTAGGAACAGGCCAAAGAATACTAGGCTGTGTAAAGTTGTTCCAAAATGGGATTCTGTATTAGAAATGGAAAGATGATTAATATTGCTTGCTATTTTGTTGGGGATAAAAGATACTAAGGTAGACAAATTATATGAATAGGTTATGAAAGAAAGTAGCTGAATGCTCACTTGAGTCTTTGGGCACCATGGTTGCTGTCTATAGTTGTCAAGGTAACCTGGAGTTTGTATCAGAGGATTCTCCCTTTTGGTGGTTGTGGTGGTTTTGTTGCAAATATATCTCCGTTAGATTACTTAGGTTACTTGTTAAAATGCAAAGGGAAGATGAGAGTGGAATGCCAGTATAATTTTATATCCTGAAGCTTCATGGTTTTATAACTTTGTAGAAATACAAGCAATTAGAGGAAATACTTTTTGTTGATAAAGTATGTACAAAATAGGTTTACATCCTTCAAATTTCGTCAGTTACTCTTTCATATCAGGTACATTGCTTAATTTTTAAGTCTTGCTTTTCCCTTTCTCTAACTGATCAATGACTTTTCTTGTGAATTGAGGATTTCTAGTGAAGGATTTTATCTCTACTGGCTCATATGCAAGGATTAATTAAACTATTATTACAATTTACATCATAAGAGATGTAATTGTTGACAAATGTGGAACTTCTATTAACAGAGTCCAAGAGAATCACAAATTAGACCTTTAGATGGATCAAAGCTGATTGGAAAGGTTTTTGACATTGTAAACATGCCTTATTGGCCAAAAAGAAGGTTTTATTTGAAAATATTTTTATATATAACAAATAAGAAATAAGCAGTTTCCACCCTCCTTTCCCCCAACTGCAAGTGTTACAATCCTGCATGCAAACCCCTTAAAGGTTCTCATTTATAGTATTTAAAAAAATTTATTTTCAGCCTTTGCCGGTTTGGCTCGGTGGTTAGAACATTGGCCCCGAGTACTGAAGGGTCTGGGTTCAATTACAGCCAAGGGCACGCACCTTGGTTGCAGGCTTGATCCCTGGGCCCTGGTCGGGGCATGTGTGGGAGGCAACCAATCGATGTGTCTCTCTCACATTGATGTTTCTCTCCCCTCCCTTCCATTCTCTCTGAAAAGCAATGGAAAAATATCCTCGGGTGAGGAACAATAAAAAATTCTTTTCAGAGTGGGGTAGAATCATTTTAATTAGTAGCCCTTCTATTATAGGATTAAACTATTCCTAGTTATTGCCTTGTTAACAGGTTTGAGAGATGTAGCACCTTGGATTTTGTTGCTCTTACTCTGTTTTCTGAAAACAGTGGTGTAACTTAGGTTGTAGTTCTTGGGCACACAGTACTTTTGCCCCATAGTGTGCAGTGAGTATAGCGTATGCAATGCGCGTATTTATCAAATTAAAGAACATGATCTGGAATACTGCCAGAGCCTTCTAACAGAAACCTCACTTCTCAAATCTTTCAGACACAGGCACCAGTGTCGTCTATCTAAAGTGAACATCTGGCCACTTGACTCTTCTTAGAGCACCTCAAAAGTTCCCATAACCTGTAGAGTCACCTAGGGAATTTGTTAAAGTGAAGATGCCAGAATGCTTAATTCCCTCTACCCCCAAAGGTTCTGATTTACTTTGTGGAGAACTCCCAGACTCTGCCTTTCTGAACCACACCTTTAAGGGTGCTGACTCAGCATTTTCAAAACACGTTTTCCAGGTTTGCATGTGGTCGGTCCCTGGATCACACTTTGAGACACACTGCTGTAGGTGAACCTTCATGATCTTTAGTGTGCCCAACAAGTGCCTTCATGAACTGGCTCCTGTCTACCTGTTGAATTTCATTTCTGATTATTTTTTATGTTTGCTTCCAGAAATAATCTATACATACAAATCAACACAGTGAAAAATTCTTATTCTTTGTCTCATCCCTTTTTGCTCAGTGGTAAAATTTATTTAAGCTATTCCCCACCTGTTCTTTTTATTGACTTTAGAGAGGAAGGGAGGGAGGGGGAGAGAGTGAAAAAGCTAAACATCTCTGTGAGCCAGAAACGTAGATTGGCTGCCTCCTGTACCTGCCCCCACCGGGGATTGAACCTGCAGCCTATGTATGAGCCCTGACCAGAATCGAACCCACAACCTTTTGGTGTAGGGGACAATGCTCCAACCAACTGAGCCATCTGGCCAGGACTATTTTAAAACTCTTAACTCGGTACTTATAAACAAAAGATTGGGAAGGTAGGTGTTCAAATACAATTAATACAAATCATCCTGGGGTAATAAGATTATATTTAATTAAGGTTTTCTTTATATGCATCTTCCTTGTTGTATTATATTTAGAACAGTTTTAAAAAAGTAAACTACATATTTTTAAAAATTCTAAAAATTGGTTTTACTTTATAAAAGTAAGTAATGATTTCAAACAAAATATATTTAAAATTGTATCATAAAGAGGCAAGATACAAAGGAATTTGGAGAAGGAGAGAAAATAACATGCTTTTAATTCTAACATTCTAGTGGATAAATTTCCTACTTGATGATTAAATGGATATTTATTGAGAATATTTCTAAACTTCTAACATTTTACTTTATGGATTATTTAGAAGACATACTTTAAAAGGAGAGTTTTAATGGTAAGATAGTGACATTTTAAAATGTCACACTAACTGACTGGGAAAGACAGTTCTTGAACGATACATGTCTTTATATCTAAAGTTTATCCATTCTGGGAGCTTACCAGCCTTTTGTTTGGATTGTGGTAAATACCAAATAGAGTTCAGAAATCTAAACACAAGAGAGCTGCAAATCCAAGTGAAACAAAGTCACCTGTCTTCTAAAATATTATTTTATCTTTGATCTGCAGGTAGCCACATGCAATATGTTATTATAAATACATTTAAAATATAAGACACTCAAGCTGTAAAACATGCAAATTATGACTACATGAGTCAGGAAACTTAATGATGTATTTGGTATTGAAACCAAATTGTGATTTTCTGAAATCAGACTTTCTAGTTCAAACTTAAGTTTCACAGGTAGTCATTAAAACGTGCCTTCAAATAAAAACATCCTATTTTATGTAGGGCTTTTTAAAGAAATGTAGTATGTACTTTATATCAGTAATAAGACAAAACTTGTTTTGTTTTTATGTAGCTTGCACTGAAAGGCTCTAGCTACAGTGGACTGCTTGAACGACATCATATTCACACCAGAAATGTAGAGCACATTCTAGATAGTTTACGGTAAGTATGTGGGGTTGGGTTTTGGGTGGGCTTTTACATTCAGGAATTCTAATTTCCCCCTAACTAGCAGCTAATCAGATTTAAAAAAAAAAAATGTTTTAATTGATTTCAGAGGGAGGAAGGGAGAGGGAGAGAGGTAGAAACATCAGTGATGAGAGAGTCATTGATCGGCGGCCCCCTGCAAGCCCCCCCTACCAGGGGATTGAGCCTTCAACCTGGGCACATGCCCGGGAATTGAACTGTGACCTCCTGGTTCATAGGTCATTGCTCAACCACTGAGCCATGCTGGCTGGGCTAATCAATAGATTTTTAAATAAAGATTACCATTATAAAACCACTTTCAGAAAATTATATTGTGGTTAATGGACCTGATATTATAGTGTTTCTAAGGAAATTTTTATTGTATTCTGAAAGTTTCACAGATTTTTGGTTATTTTGGTCTGCCTAAGAAGTGCCTTTTCTACAAAGGGTTAATTTTGTACACAGCAAGCTTCAACTGTATGTGTAATATTTTATTTCTTAAACAGAATACTGGATTTTTTGGGTGTTCATTATAATATTCTTCGAATGTCTAAAAATTATCATTATAGAAACCAGTTTATTTGGGGCCAAATGTAGTCAGTGAACATGTTTATGTGTATACAAGAGAATCAGTGTGAGAACATGCAAAGTTCTCTGACTAAATACTAAAGTATCAGCCTCTCAGAAAACATGCTTCTTTATGTTGTTAGTGAAACTTTTATATAAACTTTACTTCTTTATCTAAAGTATTTAGTCACTGTTTCAGGGTCTGGAACTCAAGGAATATTTATTGGATTTAAAATAATGGCTATTCAGTTTTATTATTTAAAAAATTGTCTCTCAAGGTGTTAGCCTTCTGGGCCTTTTTTGTATTAATGAATTTTAACATCAGAAGTAGAGAAAATGAAATTTTAATATTGCCATTTTTCAGGAGCTATGAAAGATGTTTTAAAGAAATTTGAGATAGTCATTTACTTTCAGCTTATTCATGTGCTTTCCAACTTAACAGTTAATTGGCTGTTGCAATTAAAAGAAAATGAAGCTAACCTTACAAAGTTAAACATAAATTTGTTTGCTTATAAAGCAAAATTGTTTATTTTACATCTCCATTTATAATAATCTTCCTCTCAGAAAACATGCTCCTTTATGTTGCTAGTGGAACTTTTTATAACCTTTACTTTTTTACCTTAGGAACGAGGGAATTGAGGTTCGCCTAGTAAAGAGGAGAGAATACGATGAAGAAACTGTTCGATGGGCAGATGCTGTCATAGCTGCAGGAGGTAATAGTTTTACTGAGGTAAAGATGTGGGGATGAGGAAGTGCTTGCTAATACTCCTATTTCCAGATATCATGTGGTCTAGCCATAATGAAGCCTTCAGAGTCCTACCGTAAGACAATTTTGGATTTTTAGAGTCAGGTTTAAAAAGATCTGCTTTACATAACATTTCACATTTTTAGTGAATGATGTTCCTGTGAGGTTCTATGTATATATTTCTGTGTGTGTATTCAAGGTATGTATTTAACTTCAAGTGTGATTCAAAGGATTGATTGTAATTGTATTTTGGTTTAGTTATGCCAGTCTTAAAAAAAAATTGAAGTTGTTTAAGAGTTTAATTAGGTAAATTTCATCCCTCTCTGGCACCAATATACATATACTTATGTTTTTTTCTGAGCTTTATTGTTAAGTTAGTGAACATTCTTTCTAAAGCTTTAAATTGACAGCATTTGTTGGAGAGAAAATTCTGAAATTGGACACTTTATTGGACATATTCTCATTAAAATAATTTATGAATTGGACTGATGTTATGAAAGAAGGAAAGAGGATTAGCTAGTAGAGGTGATAGGATTAGAGCAGTGGTTCCCAACTGGGGGATGCTGCTAGCATCTAATGGGTAGAAGCCAGGGATACTGCTAACCGTCCTATAATGCACAGGACAGCCCCCATGACAAAGAATTATCTGGACTAAAATGTCAGTCTTGCCACTATTGAGAAATCCTGGGTTAGAGCAGGAGAGATAAGGCAAAGGTATAGTGGGTAGAGAGGAGGTGGAGTAGACTGTGGCAGTCAGCAGGATGGGGTGGGGGTGTAATTGTTAGAGCAAAAGTACTGGTGTTTAAATGACATTAAAAACCAGCTTTATAACAAGTCTGGTTATGTCACCTGTCTTTTAGGTGATGGCACAATGCTTCTGGCAGCAAGTAAAGTGTTAGACAGACTTAAACCAGTTATTGGAGTAAATACTGATCCAGAACGGTAAGGCGCATGTTTTTATTTTTGTTTGTTTGGCTCTTTGTTTTTTTAGTGTAATACATAAAAACATTTACGCTTTGCTTTGCATAGTATCTGTTTATGATAAATCTTAACATTTGGAAGCTCTTCTTAATTGTCTGTACCGAAGGCCTATTGCTGGGCTCTGTTGCTACAAGGAGTTGACTACGGCGCATGATGTTTCAGGGGAAGCATCATTGCTCCTGGCTGTCAGGAATGTTAGGACCATGTTCCATAAACATTTCAGTGATGGAATTTAGGCATATTGAATTGATCTCTACCTCTGATAGAATTCTCTTCTATGTAGTTGTTTTTAAGGATATAGCTCTTGTTTTTAGCTTAGGCATGAGAAATATATATTTAACTGGCATTGATAGTAGAAAATTTTGATATGGGACAGAAAAGTTCTCACATCTGACTTTCCAGATAGTTTGGGAGTAGTATCTGACAGAATAGACCTGACCCTTGACCCAGGCAAGTGTTAGTAACCTTTGGTATCGTGGAAGAGTGATGAGTTTGTAATGTTCCATCTCCCATCCTTGTAGTGGCTCTCATTGGCCCCCTGGTTATGCCTCCATGGATTTTCTGGTGACTTCGGTGACTTACTGAATAGGCCAAATCCCGTGATCATTTTTTCCTTCTTTCCTCAGCTTCACTGACATTAAGCTGCCCATAGTAATGGCCGTCCCTGGGCTTAATGATCATCTAGAATTTTCCCAGCTCTTAAATCTGAATTCCTCTCTGACCACAGCCTCCTACCTTACCAGCGGTCTTACTTCCTCAGCCCTAAGTCTGCCTGCTGACTTTTACCAACGTGGTCCTCTTTATTTTCTTCACTTAATTCTCCCTCACTCACTTTCTTAACACATTTCTTAAATATGTTGTATGTTATCTTACTGCTTAATCCTAGATTAGTTTGTCATCCTTTCTATTACTATATCAGCACTGCCGAGAAATTTTTTGGGGAAAAAACCGTAGACACTTGGGTTTGGTTGCCCAGTTTGTGGCCCAAATTTACTTTCCATTTGTAGTTTCTAGCACTTAGAACTATACTTTCAAAGTTGTTCAGTAAACTTCCATTTGGCCCAAGTCATCTCTCTTCTGCATTCCCTGTGGCAGCTCCTTAAAGAGCGGCCCTTCAGCTTCTGTGTGGCCCCTGCATTCCCCATCCTTCTTCCTCAACACACCTTTTTCTTATCTCACAAATGAAACAGCCACTGGATTAGAACTTCTTCAGTTTTTCTCATGCTTAAAAAAAATTCTTGTCCTGTCGTTTGTTCCCCTTTTTCCTCTCTCCCTTTGTACCCCTTTAGGTTAAAAATTTAAGACTCCCATCTTTTTCGAAAATTTAGTAAATCCTTTATCCCCTGTGACACTCTCTTGGTTATTTCCCTTTCCTTTCCTCTACCCCGGAGCTGGGTGTCTCCACTTCTTTATTTCACAGTTATTTTCTAAACCTTTGCAGTCTTCTCTGGATTTGCCCCCAACCAGTTCATTGACATTGCCTATGCCTTACGACCAGGATATCCCAGTTACTGATATCCTGGTTACACTTTAGTTCTTGTTTTACTTGATTTCTGGGAAATTTTTGGTGCTAACTGCTCCCTTGTTGCATCTGTACTTCTTTGGCATTTGTGATGCCCCTTTCTTCCTACCTGTATGGTTACGTCTTTGTCACTGTCTCTTGATGAATCTTAATTTTTGGCCACTGCTTACATACTGGTGTTTCTTCATATTATCCTCAGGGCTGTCTTGTTTTCTCCTTCACTCTTTATATTGTATTTATAATAACTGATTAATATCTATGACTTTAACTTTGATCCTGGTGACTCCAAAATCTTTATATCCAACATTGATTCTGCTTCCTTTCTTTCTCTTTATTTATAGTCTTTCCTCCCCACTGCAGCCAGAGTGATCATTTTATGAAAGTTTGATACTATTATGTGACTCCTCTGCTCAGAATCTTATGGTGGTTCTCCATCTAATTTGGAATAAAATCTAATTCTTTACCATGACCAACTCATCTTGTTTCCTGGGACATAGGGCTTGTCCCAGGAAAATTGTCAGCCCCAGGCAAACTGGGACAGTTAGTCACCGTAACTGTGACATAATACTATATTACCTGGCCCTAGACTATTCTGTGTTCTTATCTCCTATTATATTTTCCTTTCTTCATTCTGTTTTAGCCAGACTGTCCTCTATTTGGATGTATTCAGTGCCATTACCAGTGTAACATGTCTACAAATGAGCCTGTCTCCTTTCCCCTCCCCCACCACACTTGATGAATGGGGCCATAACCTGTGCTGAAACTGTGATTACCCATCCCTCACCTTCCTCATCAAATTAGTCTAGGGATCTAGGTATAAGTTCTAGGGATCCTTCCTTTGAATCCATGTCTTGCCATCCTCACTGCTACTAAACATAGCTCAGGCCTTTATAGTTTGTTGTTATTGTAATAGCTTCGAGTCTCGCCTTTTTCAACCCATCCTTTATACTTTGCCTTCATGTTCTTTCCACAGTGCAGATTTGATTGTGTCCACTCCATAAGTAAAATCTTTTAACCAAAACCGTGATCTCCTGGATACATTGCAAATTCCTTAGCATAATATATATTATCTTTCACTATCTGCTTTTGCTTGTCTGCTTTTCTAGTTTCATCTGTCATTTACCCACAAGCAGTAGACATGCTGCAACTAAAAAAATATTACTGAAGCCCCTTTAGGAACAGCTTCCAATCAATCCTTCCTAAAGGCGGTTCTTTTTTTTTAAAATTATATTTTTCCCAGTTTTATTGGTATACAGCATATTGACTTGACTTACATATATTGTGAAATGATTACCACAATAAGTTTAGTTAACATCCATCATCCGTAGATACAGAAAAAAAAGAAAGGTTTTTTTCCCTTGTGCTAAGAACTCCTAAGATTTACTCTCTTGATAATTTTCAAATATACCGTATAGCGGTGTTAGCTATTATCATCATGCTGAACATTACATCCCCAGTACTTACAACTGGAAGTTTATACTTTTGACCACCTTCATCTAATTCTCCCACCCTCCACCCTAAAGGCTGTTCTTAAGTGTAAATGTAATGTGTGAGCATCTGCTAACACCACGAGTGGAAGCTCACATGTGAAGGCCTTAGCTGGTGAGGAGCTCTGTTGATATTTGAGATAGCAGGATTTGAAAGAGGAAGTAAAGAGTTCTCCACAAGGCCATGTTCTTTCCTTGCCTTTGTGTGTGCTTTAGCCTGGAGTGCCCTGTACCACTTTCTCATTTAGTAGTTCTTGTTCATTCCAGACTGGTACCCCTCCTGGGCTCTGACCCCAAGTCCCTGTACAGAGTACTTACCCCTTTATATTGTTTTCTGCTTGATTTTTTTCTTCCATTTGACTAAAATCCCTGAGTATAGGACTTCGTGTTTTAATTTCTCTGTCACTATTATAGTATCATATATAGGCGGTAGGCAATATGCATTTGAAATGAATGATTAATTAAATGATCTTAGGGAGCAGGGCTCCACCCCAGCGTAGCTGAGTTAATATGCCCTGAGCATAAGTAATTGAGATAATTGGCTCAGTAATTATTTTTTGATTGCCTTTATTGTTGATGTGTGTGTATTTTAGAACTTAATGAAATATTTTTATGTCATTAAAGTAGGAGATTCTAGATATTTTATACAGTTTATTAAAATATATTTTCTTTTAAAAAGATGACTTAATACTCATAAGGTTGGGGTGATGTTGAAACTTTAAGTAGATGGTGTTGCCTCTCTAATTTTTACCTAGAATAGTAAGTTTTAGAAGTCCTTTGGTTTTTCTTCTTGCCTTCAGGCAGCAGTGGATTAAGCCTCCTAGCTTGTTCAGTAATTCAGGTTGCCTGACTTCCTTTTTTTAAGCACTGTGGTCCCTCATAATCCTTAAATAAGCCCAGATGTTATTGTTCAACTTAAGTTACTTCTCCTCTGTATTAGGTATCAAATGCTGTATAACAAATCATCCCAAAACTTAGAGGCTTAAAACAATAATAATTACTGATTATCTCTCCTGGTTTCCATGAGTCAGGAATTCAGAAGCAGCTTGGCTGGGTGGGTTTGGCTTGGATTCTCATGAGTTTATAGTCAGATGTCAGCTTGGACTTCAGGCATCTGAAGGCTTGACTTGGGCTGGAGGATCTACTTCTAAGATGGCTCACTTACATGGACTCATCTAAATGAAATATATAATTTTTGTTTGTCTCTTCTGTTTTCTGCATTCATTCTGCTGAGACTGGTAACTATGACATTTGAATGCTTAATAATCAGAATGTGATAGAGGGCATGTGGTAGCCAGCCTCCAAGGTAGCAGTTTCCTAGTAGCAGCTTCCTAGTATTTATACCTGTATGTGGTTCCCTCCCCCCTTATATATTCAATCAGGGCTAGCCTCTATGACCAATAGAATATGTATGCCTGTGTACGGATTCCAAGGCTAGGCTGTAAACAGTATTGCAGCTTCTATTGTAGCTTCTTGGATCTCTCATTCTGGGGTAAGTCAGCCACCATGGTGTGAGATACCTAAGCAGCCCCATGGAGAGCCTCAGTGGAGAGGAATTGAGGCCTCTTGCCAACAGCTAGCACCAGTTTGCCAGGCATGTGAGTGAGCCACATTGAAAGTGAATCCTCCAGGCTAAGTCAAGCTTTCAGATGCTTACGTTGCTAGCAGATAATCTGACTAACCTCATGAGGGATTCTTCTCTCTAGAGTGTTTCAGATCTGCAGTTGACCTCAGCAGGAATTGTTTTATCAAATGACTGTTAATACCTTTTATATACTTAGCACTATGTAAAGTATTGCAGTGAACAGTTTTTTTAACCCCAGCGTTGACCTCTCAGATAAAGAAATTGACTAGTCACAACTTTGTGAAAACCTTTTTTTCTGCTCTTCACACTTACAAGTTAACTTAGTAACTACCAAGAGTTTGTTTTGCCAAGCCTACTCTCAACCTTCCCTTCAAGTTGGAAGCACTTTCCTTCAAGACTGATGATCATTGAGCTCCTTGGACACCTTCTGTCACATTAGGTGCCATATTCTCTCACCTTTCTATAGCAACCTGTAGACAATCTTAACACTTTGTAATTTGCAATAAAAAAAGTTCTGTCTTCTACATCATGCTGTTAGCTCCTTGAAGGAGTTCATAGGGATATTTTTTTTGAGTAAATGAAGCATTACATCAGATTAAACTTTTTGAGTTTCCTATTAATGACTTGGAATATTTTAAATGATGTTTAAAAGGGATTTATAGTTCAAAACATTTTCACATAAATAGTTTGATTCCTCAGAATAACCTTTGGAAATTGGTGGTTTTATAGCATAGAGATGAAGCTGATGCTAAAGTGATTTGCCCAAAATTAATAGTTAGATAATTTAAAGGTAAGATGCAAACACCACTGTACCATTAGATAATTTTGCAGGTAGTCAGTCAATGGCAAATTTGCTGTTATTTTCAGTTTCACTGTAATGTGGAAACTAAGTATTGTGTATTGTGGCAGTAAAGCTGGATTTAAACTGTGTCTGTTCATTCTTTTTTTGTTCTTGTTAAAAATACAGACAATTTTGTGGCAAAAACATAAGTATAGAGTAGAAATTTTTAAAAATTTCATATCTGATTTTTGAATTAAGTTGTTTTCTTCTTCCCTTTACACCACTTCCGATCCTTTTTAAAATAAAGGTCTGAGGGTCATTTGTGTCTTCCTGTTCGATATACACATTCCTTCCCAGAAGCCTTACAGAAGTTCTATCGTGGTGAGTTCAGGTAAGAATTTCTTTCTTTGTTATGTAAATATCTTAATAAGTATGTGCCATTAAAATGCTGTTAAACAGAATTAGATAATATTTGGATTAGCCATAGTTTTAACAGTTGCCATAAACCATAATATATTAGCTGAGTCACAAACAGATGTAACTTACCTTATTCTAGTCCCATTGGAACAGTGGAGAGAAACCTGACAAATGCCACTTGGCCTATAATGTAATTGCAAGTGGAGGTTTTTCTCCTTCAGTGAGACAGAGACCATGTCTCTACTTTCTTAACCTATTTACAACATGTAGAAAAGAGTTAAACTGTTGGCTAAACTGAGTGTTTGAATTCCCTGAGATTTTGTATCTTTTCTCGTCTTCTATGTTCCAGAATGAGAGTTGGAGCTACTGCAGTCTTGCTGAGATTCTTGGTATCTCTGTCTTACATGTTAAGTGTTTCTTAAACAGTGGGGATGGTTTTTTTCCATATTTCTTTCACTGAATTTGTTCAGTGGTCAGACTACCTACCTTGATAAAGAATTTGACTTTAATTCAAGTTATTTGGGAGATTTTATACACAAACATTAGGTATTTCCGTTATAACTGAACAGAGAAATAAACTTCTAAATCTGTCTTTAAGCAGGAACCTGTGAATTGAGGTATTTCTAGTATAATTTGTTCCTGGCACAACTAGGTTTTTTAAAATGAATTTTTAGTTTGGTGAAATTGTAATGTCTAATTCTTAGTTTAATTTATTCCGTCTTAACATCACTTGCTTTTCATTTACTCTTCTAAGGTGGTTATGGAGGCAGCGAATCAGGTTATACCTTGAAGGGACTGGCATAAACCCCGTTCCTGTGGACCTTCATGAACAGCAACTAAGTTTGAATCAACATAGTAGAGCCTTCAATATTGAAAGAGTTCATGATGAAAGTAGGTGGATTGGGAATTAGATGTATTTGGGGCAATATTTAACTTATAGTTCTTTTGATGTCTAATTTCTAACAGTAATACTTTATAATTAACTTACTTGGGAATTTCCGTGCCACTGACAACACTTAAGTACAGTGAGCTACTTCAGGTGTAAAACTTACTCTGATTAGATACCGAAGTAAGAGCAATAGCATATTTCTAAAAGAAATGTTTTCTAGGATGGTTTTGAAAATTAGTTGAGCCTGGCCGGGCATGGCTCAGTGGTTGAACTTTGACCTAAGATCCAGGCGATCAAGGTTCGATTCCCGGTCAGGGCACATGCCCGGGTTGCGGGTTGCAGCCAATCAATGACTCTCATCATTGATGTTTCCATCTCTCTCTCTCCATCTCCTTTCCTCTCTCTGAAATCAATAAAGATATATTAAAAATAAAATATTAAAAAAAAATTATAAAAAAAGAAAATTAGTTGATTAGGGAAGAATTATAAAATGTCCAAGGGGATAGATGATATTTAAGGAAATATTCTTGGCCCTTATCATTGAAAGGTCAAAAAGGAAAAAGAAAGCAGTAGAAATAAAATGAGTTAAATAAAATGAATTAATCTGTGTAAGATTTCATAATAATTATATATTCACATAGTGATATTTAAACATACTTATTATAGTTATTGTAACTGATTAAAACATGCATATTGGGAAATTTCACATCCCAGCATTCAGATTTGTGTTTCAAATGCTTGTGTAAGCTGCTAAGAGAATATCAGCATAAGGTGATACGCAGCTTTTTTGTTATAAGTAGTTAGTTAAGGTGAATTCTCAGTTTTGAGCTTATTTGTGGATTATAATCTAGTCACATTTTCCTACTTTTCCCACAACTGTTAAGACTTTTATGGTGCAAGAAGATCCTAAGAGATATCCTACCTAGATATTTTTCCTCCTTTGTTTCATTTCCTGGCTAAACTTACCAGGAAAAGCTACCTTTACATATCTGCTGTCTGTCTTGTCATGGTACTTGATGTGTGTGTGTATTTTATTTTTCCAGAGTTTTTCATGGTGATTTATAGCTTTATAGGTTAGCATGTTCCTGACTTGTGTGTGTGTTCAGGTCATGTTTTAAAGAGGTTTCTTCTTTCCCTGAACAAAAATAAATCATTGATTTTGGAAATCTTTTAAGTAATTACATGCATATGAATTCCTATTTCTGACGTTGAAAAACTGCAGCAACTATTCAGTAAGATTTTAAAATCTTAGCTAGAAATTTTACTTTATCTCACACCTGCAGTTATTGCTCCTACTAGAAGATGTTCAGGATTTGTCTCTTCTTACAGGAAAGGTGTAGATTGGTATTCAGAGATTCATTGCTCAGACTCCTATCTCAGATTCACTGGTTTTAGCTTATAAACTAAGTTGATATTTTATATATAGAAACAAAATTACGTATAAATTGAGTAATACCCAGGGTGTTCACATCTGATTTATGGTAATTCTAGAAAAAGAACAGAGAAAATGCTCAAAATTTTAAAAAAATATTGCAAGAAAAATTTTCAAAACTTAGGCAACAGTCTTTGAATTAAAAGGACCCACAAACCACTTAGGGTGAACTGGGATTTAAGCTCATCACATGGCTATTAGCAGGAAGCTTCAGTTCCTCACCATGCTGGCCTCTCCACTGGACTGCTCATGAGATACCTGTTCCCAGACCAAGTGATCTGAGACAGCGAGCCACTAGGTCAGAAGCCAGGGTATCTTCTTTAAACTTCCGAAGTGACACATCACATCCGCCATACATTAGTCACACAGACCAATCCTGGTATGTTGTGAGAGGGAGAGTTACACAATAATGTGAATATCAGGAGGCAGGGATCACTGGGGACTATCTTGGAGGCTAACTACCAAAATTGGATGGACTTTTAAGCTTTGACTTGGGAGAAAATGTGGAGGAGAAAGTGTGGTGCTTGCCCAGCGGAAGATCCTTGGGTGTAGTAAATCTGCTATCGGTGACCTTCAGAAGATGGGGCTGGCATTTCTAGTTGGAGACCGATAAAAGATAAAAGAAACCATTTGAGGGTGACAGTCACAGGTTTGATCCAGAAAGCACAGTGGGGATGCTTTGGAGGATTCTGTGAGGTGGAGTGATGTTTTAAGTATTGCCAAGGAAGATGGCTTGTTAAGCTGTGCTTACAGCCCCATAGAGGGAAAGAAGAAAAGGTGGCATTTTTTAGGTGTCACTAAGGGAGATGTGGCAGTGTTCCTCCAACGCTGTGATTGCTGAAGTACTCTTGAGGTTTTCTACTTAAAAAACCATCTCATCTCTAACATAACTGATTTGGTCTCCAACATGAGCCGTGCATGCAATTTGCTGCTTAAATTCACAGTGGCTCTCCTTTGGAGGTACGTGATTATTTCACCTCTGAAGTTTCCAGAGTAAAGCCAAGTTAAGTGTGACAACAGGAATCTTGTGAGATAAATATATTTTACCACTGTTGAAAAATTGTTTCAAGAAAAATTAAGATTCGTTTTGGAGAGACAGAGGCTTCCTTGCAGCTATAATGTTAGATGACTTTGAGGTTTATAGTATGAATACTTTAAGAGTTACTTACTTTGTATGTTACTAGTGTTAATATAGATTCTATTACAACAAATATGAATATTTTAATGTTTTATATAATTTATATCATAACATTACTAAAATTTAAGAGCTTTCTTGGAATTTTTTCTTCATTACCTGCAGGGTCTGAGGCTTCAGGACCCCAGCTTTTGCCAGTGAGAGCACTAAATGAAGTCTTCATTGGGGAGAGTCTCTCATCCAGGTATGTTTAAACCTATGATCTTGAGTTTGGAATGTAATGTTTGAGTGTTTAGATATTTGTTGAATTTCTGCAACCTAAGATTTGTGAATAATTAACACTGTAAGTAATAGAAAAGAACTATTTAATGAAATATTTCTGAAACCTTCATACACATTAATTCCTACTAAGAGGAAAGAAGATTCTGTGACCCAAAAAGTTTGTGTAACCCAGACTAAACAGTTATTCAGGTTTCTTTACTACAGTATTTCCCAGAACCTTCAATCTGTCATATAGCTGCATTTATATGTATAGTATACATGTTTAAGAGAATGATATACTTACTAGGCATACATTTGCAATTGATACAAAACTTTTATAGACAGTCATATTAAAACTTACCTAATTGTTTTAATAACATCCTTTAAAGCTGATTTGTTTGCTTGTTTTTATGCAGGCTCCAATTAAGGATCACACATTGCATGTGGCCTTCATGGCCCGTTAGAATTAATTAAGAACAGGTCCTTAGCCCCACTCCTGTTTTGTAATTCATGATATTAATGTTTTGAGTGGTCTGAGCCAGTTGGTTTGCAGAATATCCCTTATTTTGGATTTGTGTGATTTTTATTTTTATTTTTATTTTTTGCTCTGCATGATAAGATTCAGACTAAACATTTTTGGCAGGAATACTACATAAGTGATAATTGCATCCTTCTTAGTGCAATGTCATAAGGCAAGTATATTGACAGGTTAAGATTTGTAACCATTATTAGCAAAAAATTAAGGTTAACAAAGTTCTTCGTTAAGAGTATAAACGTATAGTATATTTTATTATGGATGAAATTTGTTTTGTGGGTTGAATATAACTTAGGCATAAATTGTCAGTAGAATTTTTTTTGCAAAACTTTTTTTGTGTTGGTTACCAGTTATAAAATGTCATTAGTTACTAGTTGTAAAATGACTGCTATAATAGAAAGTGAGTTTAACTATTGGTAGTACTTTAGAACATGCCTTCTCCTTTTTGTATATGTAAGTAAATTAGGGGTTGAAGATTAGAGATGGGTCTGTGTCCCACTTTCCTGCTTCCAGAACCATGTGACCTTTTGAAGGCATTTTAGTTGATTCCCTAGTTTACTGAGGACAGTTCTACACCTTCTGAAACTGTTTGTTGTAAGTCACATCCTTTCATAAGAAGTTTAATTATGGTGAGAGAAATTTGTGTTAATTCAAAACGCTATCCATGTTTTAGCCAATGACTCCACTTAGGTAGCACTGGAAAGAACAGCCCGATTCAGCAGGATGACTGGAACACTTTCTTTGAGCAGTTGTAATTATTTTGATTAATGTAACTTTAAATTATTCCATAAAAATATATTGTGCACTGCTGTGTGTAATATGGGAGCCACTAGGAATAGAGAGATGAGTAAGATAAAGGTAGTGGTATCTTAATTTTTTGGAGAGTGGTGGTAAAATACATAACTTAAAAAATTATTAAAAGTAAAAATTTATTCTTCAAAGTAATAAAAATATATTCTTTAAAGTGTAAAAATATATTTGTCTTAGTGTAGTAGGGTACACTGTGTGTGCAGCTGAGGCAGTACAGCGTGAATAATGGGCACACCTATGTGGTAGAGATGAGGGAGACACTGAAACTAGTTAGTAATAGTAATATGATTTAGTTGTTGCTGCCCAACACGGGAGGCGGAGAAGAGAGCGACACCCTTAGATGAGGTTGGAGAAAGTCTATTGAAATGAGTAGAGGGCAAAGATAAATATGTTCTGTGAGTTTATGCTTTTAACTCTAGGGAAGCTGTTTAATGGCTTGTATTATTATGTTTGTATATTTTAAAGGTGGTAACTTCTGAGAGCTGCTGCTAGCATTGCTTTATAATTTGTACTTACTAAACATTAAATAACTTATAAAAGGAGGAAAACTGGGATAAATTGACAGACTTTGGGCATTCAGTGAAGTCCCAGTAGGAGGTTTTAGAATGAATGCTTTTATTTTCTGTGGCAGTAGTGATTTGGTTGGTTTATCTCCTAAACAGTATCTGGTGCTGCTGCTTTTGTGCTCTTTGATGCCTCACCTTATGTCTTTACTAAGATAAGGACAGCAGTGGGTGGTCTTCTGATGCTATTGGAAGAGGTTTCACTGTTGAAAGGATTAGAACTTACTTTGAAAGGTTCTGTGACATAGACCCGTAGGCAGGAAGGAAATGATGAGCCCTTATTAGATGCCTGCTGTGTCAGGCACTGTGTATATTGTGTGTGTTATCACATTTAACGCTCGTAGCAACCCTGTGAGGAACGTAGTTGTGTTTACCAGTGAAAAAATTGAGATTTATATGGTATCAGAACTGCCATATAAAGCCAGTATTTCTTATTCCAGATCCTGTGTTAGTTAGCCTTCACTGTGTCTGCTTGAAAAATACAAAGTGCAGCAATATTATTCCTGCCTCATTATAATGTTCTTAGAATTAAGAACATTTTAAAAGCCCATTTTTTTCTCTTTCCCCCTATTTGTTCTAACCTAGAATGTCTTATTCTTGGGCTGTAGCAGTGGACACTTTAAGAAGAAGTATACCCACTCTAAAGGGACTGTGAGTTTTATTGCTGCCTTAAAAAAATAATTTCCCTGAAACAAAAATTCTGTGGGTCGACTAATCTTGATAAGCCTGCATGAGAGAATGACACTGAATTTGCTCATTATGTCTCACCTGACTCTTCCTGTTCTCCTCCGCCTCTGCTGCTCTGGCCCCACTTACCTCTAATCTCTTGTTCCCATGTGATTCTGCTATATAGCAGCCATTCCAATAATTTGGCTGGCTTGTCTGTATGTATCAGGCTCCTAATGAGACTAAAATTCCTAATTTTCTAAGAAGATGTAATCAAGCTATGAAGTAGATTAAATGTGAATATTAAGTTTGCTATCTTTTACTTTTAATGAAGAATGCTGAGTTCAGAGAAAAAATGAAAAGGAGTTGTATCATGTAAACCTTCATATATCCAGCGCTCAGCAGGAGAAGTTGAAAGGGTTAGAATAAGAGTTAAATTATCCATTGGGTGTTAGTGTTTGTGAGTATGTCTAATAACATATTATTTTGAAAAGCTATATTTTATTAGGGGTTTATTTTAACTTTTATTTGCTAGAGAAAAAGAACTTAATGTTGATTAGTGACACCATTATTTTAAGATATAGCTTACAAAATAGGCTTTTACATGTTTCAAAGGTTTTTTTGATTAGTTGCAAATCATTTATGCTTCCATGCAGTTAAAGAATAGTGTCATTTTTGCTGATGTCAGAAAACCCATTTGATTTCATTTTATGAAATACTCAAAGAAATATAAATCTTTAAAGAAATTACAGTTTTAGTTTTATCTCTAGTTTTGTCCACTAGTTCAGTACTGGTTGAGAATTTTCTTGAGAACTTGTTAGTTTACTATCAATTCAAATGCATAATAGTATGAAACTCAACAAAAATTTAGCAGAAACTCTTGGTAACTCGAAGGATTAGATAGAGACTTAAACATATCAAGGACTAGCTACCAAGAAAGAAACCGAAGAATGGTTTTTCTTTTTTAATTCTGAAATAATAACAGAACCTTATTTCAGAATTTTATGTTAGTTTCCATAAAAGCAGCAGCAGCAGTGCTTGGTAAAAATTTAGAAGACGCTCCTGTTTGGAATGTTAAAGTATTGACATTCTTTCGAGCCTATGAATCAGAGAGGCATGTAGACATGCAGATTTTCTTTAACTTTTCACTTAATATTAGCATCATGATGTGTGTGCCTACTAAGGTATGTCTAAGTCAGGCTGGCCTACTTTGATTCCATCGGTTCTGAAAAAGACTGTCTTATTTACTGTGAGCCATAAGTTCAGCAAATCCAGTTTTGTATTCTCAATTTATAGGGCCTCCTATTATGAGATTTCAGTTGATGATGGTCCCTGGGAAAAACAGAAGAGTTCAGGGCTCAATCTGTGTACTGGAACAGGATCAAAGGCCTGGTGAGTAACTGGGGATGTTGCTTATCGACTTTTGTGAAATATTTTAAGTAATGTGATTTACTCGTGGTCTTGTGTCGGCATATCTGAGGCTTCGGATACACAGAGGCAGCCTGGTGTTAGGTTGGCTGGCTTGGTTTCTGCTCACTCATGGATTGGGTCTAGAAGCCTTTGCCTTGACGTCTTAGACCACAGCGGCATCCTAGCTTTGGTCCTTATTTGGTCCTTATTTAGCCTGCCTCACTAGATTTGTAAAGAGAAAACAGAAGGTGAGAAATGTTTTTAGATACTACATATTTTTTTTAAATGAATATTTTAAATAACAGTAAAATGAAAACAAAGTCCAATACAAAAAAAAAACATGCTGGAGGTTAAAGGTCTAACCAGAGATAACCTGGGCCTCCAGTGTCTCATTTACCCTGTGACCTCTTTCTGGGTAGTCTCTTCTGCTTCTTAGCACACATGCAGGTGCCTCCCAGACTTCTACCTGTGGCAGTCTTCTCTCCTGAGTACGAACTCACCTTCTAAAATTACCTAGCAGAGAGAATGGTAATAGCTTCTCAGATTTAGTGCATTTAAACTGAATTTATTGTCTTCGGTTTTTCTTCCTGTGTTCCTTGCATTGCTTAATAGTATCCTTGTTTACCCTGAGTTAATGCTCCAGAGGAAAAACATCTTCCCTACAAACCTGCTCGTAGGTTTGAGACTTCTGTTCTCCCCTCTCCACATACCAGTCTCTGAATCCAGTCAGCGGCACTTCTGAAATCCTTGCCCCCCTTTTCAGCCTCTTCTGCTATTTTTTGGCCCAGGCCCCATCATTTTAGTGAATAGTCTTTATGCCTGACCCTCTGTTCTTCAGGCTGTCATCCATACTGCCAACGGAGTAATGTTTCTAAAATGTAGATAAAATATGACTCTACCCCTTCAGTGATTTAAAACTTTCACTGACTCCTGAGACTGCTCAGCTTATTCAGTCAGTCGTATAGGGCCCTTTAAATATGACCTGAGCTACACTGCCAGCCCGTTGCTGCTCTGCCTACCCCCTCAGCACACTGCACACACTGCAGGCTACTTGGAATTCTCAGCACAAGCCATGCTCTCTCTGGGCTTTTTGTTTTTACTCAGTGCAGTTTCTTCCTTCATTGAATACTTGAACACTCTGCTTCCCATCCACTGCCTGAAAAAGCCAGTCTTCACATGTTGTTCTTTGTAGGAAGACTTCATTAGGACCTAGTTTTTTTCATAAGCATAATTAATCCCTTTTTTGTCCTTCCCAGCCTATTTTTCTCAGCACTTACCACATTACTGATTATCTAACATGGTAATATCCTGCTAGTTTGAGCAACGTGAGGCATTTAGGATGGTGACTAGTGTTTTTGTTTTTTTCCTGCTTAAGTTTTGTGTGCATATCATAGGACCTCATACATATTCCTGCAGATATTTTTTGAATAAATGACTGCATGTTCACAAAAAGTGCTTAAGTTTGGATAGTTTAAAATGGAGTTTTAGTTCCTATTTTTCAGCATTACTTTTTAAAACTTTTCATTGTGGAAAATTTTAAATATAAATGAGTAGGAAAAATAGTATAATGAATCCCCTTGTACTCATTAGCCAGATTCAGGAGTTATCAACTCATGTCCAGTCTTGTTTTCTCTGTTCCCCTGTATCTCCTTTCCTCCTATAAAGACCCACTTTGAAGTAATTTTCAGACATCACATCACTTGTTTCATAAGTACTCAATAACTTAACATCTTTAAAAGAAAATCCTGGTCTTAGTCAAATAAATGAACCTTTGGGAAAAAATGAGAAGAATCATTTTAAACGATTGGTTAATATCTTATTTTCCTGAAGGCCAGTGAGAAGACCTATATTTCTAAAATGATTTTTCTAATAATTATTTGAAACAATAAATATAATCATATAATATGCTGTAAAATTATTTTGTAACCATCTCATAAATTGAAAACATTAAATTAACAGCTTTAATTTATCATAACATCTTTTCTGCTCAACATGGTATGTTACTTGTTGAAAACTGGATTGCGAATTAGAAAGTTTTCCATGTTCTTTCCCTTTTCTTCTCCCAGGATTCTCATCCCTTAAAAATGGGTAGAATGGTAGAATGGCACAGAGTGTGGCCTGCAAGTCGAGACCTGGCGAAACCACTGACCAGCTCTGTCACCATGTACACATTTTCTTTTCTGCAAAACGAGGGAAATGGAACAGATAAATATGATTGCTTTATCCTCAGAACTTCTATGATTCTGTTCCATTTTATGCATTATAATGCAAACTATCAATTATTTAACCCCTACTACTTTGAATATACTGTGCTAGGTACTTCTTATACATTGACGGTAATCCTCATGGAAATCCTGCAAGAAGGTAGTAGTATTCCTGCTTGTAAAGGAAGAAATTGGGGCTTAGCCAGGACAAATAATAAGGCTGAGGTCACAACAACAGGTGTCAGAACCTGGATACAAGCACAGGTGAGCTTGACTCCAAAGTAATGCCTTTTTCATTGCCAACTTTAAAATGGAGAGGGGGAGTTATCTAGAAGTCACTCAGCTGAGAGTAGTCACTAGATGGTATTGAAGAACTATCAAGGTAAACTTACCAACCTTGGAGAAATAGTGCTTCTCTATGCTAAAGGCAGTGGACTTTGACTTCTGCTGTGTGTGTGGTGTGTGTATGTATGTGTTTGTAATTTTGATAGGTTTAGTTTTCAGCCTTTGAGTAGTGACAAGAACATAAAGAATAAGAGCCATTNCTGCAGAATATACATTCTTCTCAAATGCACATGGGATATTTTGAAAGATAGACCACATGTTAGGACACAAAAGAAGTGCCTGCAACAGGGGTGGGGAGCCTTTTTTCTGCCAAGGGCTATTTGGATATTTATAATATTCATGGGCCACACAAAACTATCAACTTAAAAATTGGCTATGAAAAAAGCTCCTAGATTTATTGAATTTTTTAGCCTTGCCTGGGCTGCCTTGGCAGGGCCAGACCAGATGATATGGCCGGCAGGCCAGACATTCCCCACCCCTGCTATACAATTGAAGAAGACTGAAATCATATCAAGCATCTTCTCAGATCACAATGGCATGAAATTAGAAATCAACTATAGTAAAAACATTCAAAAACATTCAGACACATGGAGGTTAAATAGCTTGTTATTGAACAATGAATGGGTTACCAGTGAGGTCAAGGGAAATTCAAAAACTTCCTGGGAACAAATGAAAATGAACACACAACAACCCAAAATCTATGGGACACGGCGAACAGTGCGGAGAGGGAAGTTTATAGCAGTACAGGCCTATTTAAAAAAACAATAAAATTTTAATAAACTAACCCTACAACTAAAAGAATTTGAAAGAGAACAACAAGAAAAGCCCAGAGTAAGTAGAAGGAAGGAAACAGTAAAGATCAGAGAGGAAATAAATGACAGACTGAAAAAGAAAAATACAAAAATATCATTGAAACCAAGATCTGGTTCTTTGAAAAGATAAACAAGATTGATGAACATTTTGTTCTAGCTGGTTTGGCTCTGTGGTTAAAGCGTCAGTCCACAGACTAAAATTTCTTGGGTTCAGTTCTGGTCCAGGGCACATACCTTGTTTGGAGGCTCAATCCCCAGCTCAGGTCAGTGTGTGTGTCAGAGGCAACCAATCAGTGTGTCTCTCACATGGATGCTTCTCTTTCTCTTTCTCCCTTTCTTCCTCCCTCTCTCTCCCTTCCTTTCTCTGAAATCAATAAAGATATATTAAAAAAAAATAAGAGCCATCATATTGTAAAGTACCTCCTCTCCCGTGCCACACACTTATAGTTGAGTCCTGTGTTGAAGTTTCATTTGGATAATGTGGCTTAGATTAGAATTTCAGCCTTTTCTGTGTTGCTTATTAAAGTCTCCTGTTGTTTCCTGTGCTCGGGTATAGAACTTTCTTACTAACTGTATCCTGTCCCTGCCACCGTGGTTACTCAGTCTCTTTTCTGCTCTACTTAGCCCTATGCAGCTTGCTTACTTCTAACATGTTCTACCCTCTTCCCTCCCACCACTGATAAATCTTTTGCTCTGATTGAAGTTTACATTCATCTTTGTCTTTTTTCTCTTCAGAAAATGGAGGGAGAGAAGAGAATCCCTGGGATTGAGGGAAAGCTGTACATTTCTGTACATTAATTTTTATCTCATCACATCACTATTTCTAAGCATTTTCTTTGTCTTAAGTATATTATGTAAACTCTCGAAAATACTCTAGAAGTGGGGGACTCTATGAATATAGAGTATAAAGAGTCTCAGAAATTAACTGGTGTGCCCAAAGCCATGTGGCTAATAAATGGTGAAGGCAGGATTTAAATTCTAGATTTAACTAACCTGTAGACCCCTGAGGAATCACTGGAAAGAAAAGACCTAGGATAGCCTGTTTCCTTTATTATTAGTAATTCTTTATACAGAAAGAGAAAAGTCTGTTTTGCTATATGACCTTCTCAGTCCTTGCTTTGAATATGGAATGTGGAAATGTATAATAATTTAGAGTAGGCTAGTTGTTGTGACCTCCAGTCTCAGTGGCTTAGCACCATAGACGTTTATTTCTTGTTCTTGTAAGTCCAAGTGGGTGTTCTGATTGTCAGGTGGTTGTCCTCCAAGTAGTGAGTCAGGGAGCCAGGCTCCTTCCATCATGCAGCTCTGCCATCTTTTAAACATAGCTCCTAAAGTTGCTGTGCTCATTTCCATCCAGCCACAGGAGGCAGAGGAGCATGCGGGTCCTGTGTGGGAGGTTTATGAGAGAGGTATAGAAGTGCCATCCATGATGTCCACTCATTCCTTCAGCTAGAACTCAGTCACATGGCAAGGGGGCAAGAGGGGATGGAAAATACAGCCTGTGTGCCCAGGGGGAAAATGGTTTTATGGAATAGCTATCCCATTTTTGCATTTCCAGAACTTCTTCCACAGGACATAGGATGTAGGGGTTATGTATAGCAGGTGTTTCTGAATCGTTGCGTTATCTCGGTCCCCTTTTCCCATCGGAACATGATTTGCTACGTATGCAGGGAGATGGACTATAGAGTAGGATGTTTCTGTTAGTTCTTAAGACCATCCCCAGTCCTCCTCCTCCACACATTTCAGTCCTAGCAGACTTAAATCAGAGTGAAGGAGTGTTCTTAAGTGAAGACAATTTTGCTAGCTGATGAAGATAGGGGAGTCAATATGCCTTTCAGTTTTGTTGTCTTTAGTACAAGGTATGTCTGATTTCAAATGGGAACTCTTAGAGTGGTGAAGGTTAAAGGAAAAAAGTGGTCACGTGCTAGCTTACACCTGCTTAGTCATCTAGTTTGTCTTTGATGTATAATATAAACCACTTCTAAAGGTAGGGTGAATTGGCTGAGATCCAGGTTCTAACCATAGGAAATTAGTCTTAATTTAATTCCAATTCAGAGAACTTAGTTTGGATTGGTTTTAATCAGAATGTGGTATTCCTTAATAGGAATCTAGGAATATTACTGTAAGTCTTCTTAGCCTTTTATTCTCTTAAGTTAAATCTTAACTACAGTAAGAGATATTAGTTACTAAAATTTTTTGCCCTTTATATATTTGAATTCAATGGAACCCTAATAAACATAGCTCATTTTTATGTGACTTTTAGACTGAAAATAGAATTCTAAAACAGTGTCTTCCATCCAGCCACAGGAATTGTGGATATTCACAGGAATTGGAATATAACGTATACATATCCTGTGCACTAGACATTTTCATTTAGTATTGAGTTCTTGCCATGGGCCAGGTAGTGGTCTAAGTGCTTCGTTTCACAGCATGTGACGCGAGATAGGTGTTGGGAACTTACACTAAACAATAAGACAGGACACGTACACTATTTTGCTTTATACCAAATAGTAAGTATGAGCAAGGTACATGGGCAAGAGTGAGCTTGGTGTGGTCAGAATGTGAAATCGGAGGGCAGGTAATGGTGAAAATAGATAGGCAAGGGCCAGAGTTTAGAGGGATTTGGTGTGTGCGTCACCTCAAATTTTGAATGTAAAAATTTCTGTATCTGCATTTTTCTTAAGGAAATGTTCAAAATATTTCTACATTTTCAAAATGTGAAGAATGCAGGGTTAGAATGGTATATGGAGTCTTTATTATCATCCTCAGAAAAAGCTAAAGTCCTGGAATTCGGTTGGAGTTGACTCATTGCTATTGCTTCCATTAGGGTTGTGTGCGGATGCCACCGGAGAGAGTATGAGGCAGGAGAATACGTCTTAAGTTTTCTAGGAGAATTTTTTTTTTTAAAAAACACCTTTCTTTAACCATCTTTATAGACCCTAGGACAGAGCTACTTTTAAAAGTTATTCATGTTTGTGTTAACATTTGTTTTTAAGTGGTTAAGTAAGGCAGCATACTGGCAAAAAATTTCTCACCTTTAAGGAAGCTATTTTATGACTTAAAGAAATACACATGTTAAAAATATGGTAAGTAGTACAAAAGGGTGTGTAATGAAAAGCAGACTTAATTTCAAATCTCTAGTATATATATTCTGTATAATGCCTTTGGTTTTTTTTAACTTAACAAATGGGTTATTTCTGCATGTCAGCACATGTAGTTCTATTTTATTCTTTCTAGTATCTACATAATACCCTGCTGAGTAGCTATAGTTTATTTAACCAGCTTCCTATTGCTACATATATTTGAGTTTTGCTACATATAGTTGTGTTGCTGTTATAAACAATGCTTCAGTAAATATCCTTCTATCTTCGTGTATCATATATGCAGGTATATTTTACAATCAATTACTAGATTGAAGAATGTTCTTTTAAAATTTTAATAGTGCAGAATTGCTCTTTGACTGCAACTTCTATAATTCCATCGGTGTATGAGAATCCTTCTTTCCCATACCCATGCCAAACATTGTTTATCAGTTTTTTATTCTTGTACATCTGAGGAAAAACTTGTTTTAATTTGCATTTCCTTAAGTATGAGTAAGAAGGAACATTTTTTTCATATTGGCCTATGGATTGTTTGCCCATGTACTTGACCCACTTTTTAAAACTGGGTGAAGTGGCTTTTGTGTTTTGGTTGTTTTTTTCCTGACAATTTCTAAGAGTTGTATATTAAGTAGATTATTCCTTTTCATTTTTAGTTTGTTTTTAGAATTAAAATAAGAAAGAATTTATGTGGTGTTTGTTTCTAGGTCATTCAATATTAACAGGGTTGCAACTCAGGCTGTGGAAGATGTTTTAAATATTGGTGAGTACCAAAATAGCTACTATAAATTATAATATGCTATAGAATGTATATGTTTTATGCTATGGTAGCTATTATGATACAAAACATTTTATTTAATCAAGATATTTTCTCCCTTTCCTTTTTCAATAGCAAAACGACAAGGAAATTTAAGTCTTCCATTGAACAGAGAACTGGTAGAGAAAGGTCAGTGACAAATGATCATAATTACTAACAGTTTCACTTAAGTTCTGTATTGATTTTAGGATATTACTGTGATGTGTACTTGTCTGTTTAGCAGAGCACAGTACTTTCTTTAACTCAAACATGCTTTTAATATCCCTTTGAATATATTTAAACAAAAATTTAAAATTGGACTTTTATATTATGATTTTTGTCAACCATAAAATATAACCTATATGTCAGAAACAGCGTAGCTGCAAATATGTCCTGGGGAATAGGAAAATATAGAAAAATACATATCTGGCAAATGGGAAATGCACACCTGAACTCAGTGTGACAATATCCTCTGAATGAAGAGAAATTCACTGAACTGTAAATGCTTATCTTCACAGTCACTTAAGTGTTCTGTTTGACTTTCTCCTGCCTACTCCTGCCTAGTTACTTTAGGGTTCCTTTAAGAGACCTGTTTCTGTTGAGAGAAAGAATACTGATGGGAAATTTGAAGATCTGGGTTCCAGTCCCAGACCAACCAGTGACCCACTGAGAAACTGTGGGCAAGACTGATTCTCTACTCCTCCATTTCCTCTGCTGTGAAATGAGTCTTCATATAAAAAAATATTTAAATTCTGAAAAACACATTCATTTGATTTGCATATGAAATTTTAACACACTGAAGTCTATTCATTTACCAGGATCATTGTTGTACAGACCTCAAACAAAAGCTTCCCTTACGGTCTGTTTAATTGAAGAGTATCCTTCGATGTGAAGTTATTTTTAAAAACAACAAAAAAGCCCAAACATGTTTATAGTTGCACCTACCTTCCTTTGTAAGGATTTGTTAACATATAAAACCAAAGTAAAATATAGCCATAGAGTAGATATCAGCACCTATACGATTAAAACTCATCCACCCATGAACACACTTGAATTTGAGTCATCAGAGTAACTTGTTCTTGTCGGTGCCCTTAAACTGATTCAGCAGTACACTGAGCAGCACATGAGGAAGTATTACAGTATCAGTCCACATATCTGTGTATTTGCGTTTCTACACAAGAAACCCTTTATTGGGGAGACAGTTTGCCTTTAAATTAGTTTGAAAACAGGACTAAATCTCTGAATTCCCTTCCATTTCTCTAAAATGGACTCTGTCTTTTCCTCTCAATTTGATAGCTAACAGATTATTTTAATCATGGCTTATGAGCTAGCATTAGCATTAAATCTATTCAAAGAAAAGAAAATTGGGCATGTATAGTAATTGAGTGTTCCTTATGTAATTTAACTTAAAACGTAATACATAGAGGCCAACTGAAATTTATATCCGGTATGTAAATTAATTTAAGGGTACATATAAAAGAAAGTGATTGACTTTTGCCTTAATAAACAAACTGCTTTATGAGTGAACATCATTCCTTTGAAGATCTGACTGTCTTCAGAAGCAACAGTGAAAGCCAGAGCTGCAGTCACTTTACACTTGAACTACTTTCTTCAGAGCCAGCACATACTTAATGTGTGTGTTCCCAGCGAGGCAAAAATCTTATATTTGAAAATGAGTTAGATTTTTTTAAAAAGAACCCCATAATTCCAATGCAATTTTGGAAAATGCAGTAGATTATCTGACAGTCTTGTAATGTCTTCCAATGTTCTGCTAAACAGAGTTCTTTCAAGCCTGATATGTTTATACGGTTGACTTGAGCTAGTTTGTGCTTTGCCTACCAACTGTCATGTATTTTTTTGGTTAGAGAGAAAGCAAGTCCCACTGATTTCTAAAACTATATCAGACTGGCAGGGCATGGCTCAGCAGTTGAGCATCAACCTAGGATCCAGCAGATTGGAGGTTCGATTCCCTGTCAGGGCACATGCCCGGGTTGTGGGCTCGATCTCCAATCAGGGGCTTGCAGGAGGCAGCTGATCAATGACTCTCTCATCATTGATGTTTCTCTTTCTTCCTCTCCCTTTCTCTCTCTGAAATTCATAGAGATATATTAAAAAAAATAAAACTATAGAGTAATGGCATTTTTTTTTTTTTTTTAATATCTTTTTATTGATTTCAGAGAGAGGAAAGGAAAGGGAGAGAGAGAAAGAAACATCAATGATGAGAGATTCATTGATCGGCTGCAGCCCGCAACCCGGGCATGTTCCCTGACTGGGAATCGAACCCCGATCGCCTGGATCCTAGGTCGATGCTCAACCGCTGAGCCACGCCCGGCTGGGCGAATAATGGCATTTTCAAGTGAAAGCATATTGCCCGTCATTGTTTGAGATTGCATTTAATGTCAAGACTATTAACTTATAATCGTACTTGCGAACTCTTTGACATGGTATTTTGAAAAAGAACTTGGCAGGGGAATATCGCAACTCAGGTTCCATTTTTGAGTGCCATAAACTAGTTCCTTTATTTTTGTTTAATTACTAGCTTTGAATTTCTTTTCTTTTTTCCAACCTATTCTATATTGTGAGTGATGCAGGCTTCTGTAGACTAATCTTGGAACCTAATCTTCATTTATAAGGTTTGTTGTTGTTGTTTTAGTGGGACACGTAGTGAGTTCCAAGATACTTTATACGGAGCAGACCTGTGTAACTGCTTTAAGTTGTGGATAGCACCCACTTTCCATTTTGCACTTCTCAAGTGACCATCTAACTGAATGTGCTAATACTTGTTTTATTTTCTTCATAGTAACAAATGAATATAATGAATCGCTGCTCTATAGTCCAGAAGAACCAAAAATACTTTTCAGTATTCGAGAACCAATAGCAAACAGAGTTTTCTCAAGCAGTCGTCAGCGTTGTTTCACCTCAAAGTAAGTGTCCAAAGTCTGACTGTGACTGTTTCATCCCTTATAATTATAAAGCACCTGGTTTGAAAAGTAATTCCATTCTAACCAAGCCTGGTGGGAGAAGTAGAACCTGTGGAACTAATAAGGCGTTGTGCTCACCTGGCTAAAATATTTTCTTTCAAACTTAATGTGCCATTTGAGAGACACTAACATTTCAGTGACTAGAAGGGGCATAGTTACTTGGGTGATGTGGAATTTTCCGAAATGTATTTAGACTGCAATTAGATTGAGTTATTTTAAAAGAAACTGACTGGAAAGCAACTTTCCTCATGTGTTGTGGAATAAAAGCAGGATAAACACTTAGGAAAATCTAAATCGTGGAGCAGTAAATGTTTAGAGTAGGAGTCATATCTTTTCTGCCTACACCTGCCACTTTAGATAAAAATGAAGGGTTTTAAAGAAACCGTTAATGGGGGTTAAGAAAACTTAATGAGATGTTGCTTCCGGCTTAGGGTTTGTGTTCGTTCTCGTTGTTGGGATGCCTGTATGGTTGTGGACGGAGGAACTTCCTTTGAGTTCAATGATGGAGCGATTGCTTCAATGATGATCAATAAAGAAGATGAGCTTCAAACTGTGCTTCTGGAACCGTGAAGCATGTCCACAGGTGACAGATTCTGATACTGGAACAATACTGTCACTGCAGAAGCAGACTGCCAGCCATGAGCTCCATCTTTTGGTCATTGTTGAGACTGGCTGGCCCTGGGCTCCACGTGCCTAAGAAAGTGGGATCTGTGTTCTTCTGTTGGATCAGTGGAAAGATGTTCACTGTGTAAGAAAATGGATGGACTGAACTGTTTAGAGTGGCGACCAGTGAAATTTCTATCTTACTTATGATTGGTATCCAAGAGTGCTGACATCTTAACTTTAGAGAACTAGGTTCAAATAAAGGATTAACTGTTTCCTTCCCTTTCCTCCTAACTTTGTGGAATTGGTCAGAAGGAACACATATCATTTGATTAGTGTATATTTTTTATAGCACCTAAAAATCAAGATTTAAAAAGCAGTTCGATGGAGAATTTTGATAAATCCTGACATTGACCTAATGAAGTAGGTAAACATGTTTTCCTATGTGCTGAGAATTTTCTAACTTCAGAACACAATATTATTATGACTCTATTGATTTAAGAAGTTCAAACAGTCATTTTTGAAATTATTTATAGTTTTTATTTAATTTCAGGTTAATTTTTACAAGATGCAGGGTGAATTGAAACTGGACAGAATCATGATGCTGTTGCAAACGGATTAATTACCCCGTAGCTATTTTAGGTCATAGACAATATTTAAACAATGACTTGAGTCTAATAGCCTTCTTCCACATTTAAAACTCTCAACACAGATTCAGAGACTCAAAGGAAGAACTGGTGAGACATATTTTGTTAGGAGTTTGGTTGAACCTTTAAAAACTACTCTTATCTACTTTTAATATCATGGTAGTTCTCACCTAGCTCATATTCCAAGTTTCACACACCTTGGCTTTGGAGGGTAAAATGTTACGGCTTTTCTCCTGCCTCGCCCACACCCCCCAAGAGTTCCTTTATTTTGGTGGGAGTTATTTTTATCTAATTCTTGATCTACTCATACGTGAGCCTAGACTCTTCATAAAAAGCACCTATTGCTGCATCATGAAACCATTAGTAGTCTCATGCCATTTATTCAAAGGTATATGTTTTTTTTACTTGCTATTAAAAATTTTTATTCAATCATTGAAACATTTATTGACTACCCATTCTCTGCCATGCACTATATCAATTGCTGGGTATATGCTGAAGAATGAAACGGACTATCCTGATAGAACTTGAGTCGAGTGAACTCAGAATTCTATAAAAGCTAGGATGTATAATCAAATTGAGTGCTCTTAGTTTTGCCAACATTTAACATGTTCTGTCAGATTTTTATACAAATGTGACTACACAAAAGTAATCTAGGTTTGATGTATATCTAGAACAAGAATCTGGTTTTTTTCCTTAGTTAAGAGCATCTGTATAGACGCTCATTAGCAAACAGTTTCCATGGTGCATACAGTTAATATTAGTGTTTTCCCAGAGCTGGTTGTAGTTTCTGGTTTGATTTAAAAGTGATATACTTAAGATCTACTTAGTAAAATAAAATTCTACACTTTAGAAACTCCCCTAATTTTAAAATGCCTTCTTGACAAAAATGCCAACTCCATCTTTAATATCAAGAAAATCTGATTATCTATATGGTAGGTATGATAGGTCTGTTAATATGTAACATATTAATAGGTCACCTGCTGTGTAAAATTGTTCATAAGCCATATTTTAAAGGTTTAAAAAATGCTTAATGTGCTCCATTTGCAATATAACTTATAATATTTCTGCTATGTGCTGGGGATTTGTAAGAGATGATGAGAGGCAAAGGATGTTAGAATAGCAAAAATGTTTTTATGAATTAACCTTTAATGGCAAGATGTGAATAAAATTAAACTATTGTTATCCCTTCTTTTTTACTTCATTTATTTCCTTAATTCTTAATGAGGTTATTTGAAAACCTGGTTTTCTCAAGTTGTTTCAAAAGTCTTTCCCCCCCACTGCTATATATTATTCTTTGCCCTGTTGACGTCATTCACTGCTAATCTCTGACACAGAACAGTGATTTGTATATAATCAGAGGATAAATGGCTTACCTTGTAAGTGTAGAGACTCTTCAGATAATTTCAACTTAGTATTTTTGACACTCCATATACACTTATATTTATGGCCCCAGTAAATCAAATTACGGCAGAGCAGTGGGAATGAAAGAGGAGGTTGCCTTTTTCCCTGTTCACGGTTAGTGTATCCACTGGAAAGGGGTTCTAGTTCCCCCAGTCCTCAAAACTAGTACCTTTCCTTATATGCTCTGTACCTTCTTCCATGTTGTTCAAACACAGTATCCTCCACACTGTAGACCTTCAGTAAATGTTGGATTGTGACTGAGTTCACCAGGATAATAAGGACACGGTGTTGTCACTTTATCCAGAAATAAGAATTTTGCACTTGGCCAGAGTGTTCCTCATAACTCTGCAACTTGTGGCTAGGATATAGAAGAGGAGGAATCAAGGGCTGGAAGCAGATGTTAATATCATAAAAACAACAGCCAGATGTTATGTCTCTTGATGGAAGAACATACTAATACCTATCAAATATCTCCTCAAAAAAAAACTTGATAAGCCTGTAGATCAGGGGTTCTTTACACTGTACTATTGACATTTGGACCAGATACTTTGTTATGGGAAGCTGTCCTCTGTTTGTTGTTGGGTGGTTAACAGCATCCTTAGCCTCTACCCACTAGATGCCAATGAAACCTCTCCACTTGTGACAACCAAAAATGTCTTCAGATATTACTAGTGTCTCCTGGGGTGCAAAATCACCCTTGATCTAGAGTTGTGTGCTGCTAGATCTGATTACCAGTTTGTGGAAATAGGAGACAGATTAACTTGTTAAATGTCACTCCAGGAATTACATCAGCAAAATCCAGAAAGTGGAACACAGGACAAAGAACCTAGTTTCTTCAATAGATAAACTGCAAGAAAAAAAAGGTGGGCGGAGGGGACTCAAAGATGATAAGATTTGAGAATGTCAAATCAGTCCTAGCTAGAGCAATTAGCCAAGAAAAAGAAAAGGCATTTAAATTAGAAAGGAAGAAGTAAAACTGTCACTATTTGCAGATGGCATATATTTAGTAAACCCTAAAGACCCCACCAAAAAACTCTTAGAATAAATGAATTTAGTAAAGTTGCAGGATACAAAACCAACATACAGAAATCTTGCATTTCTGTACACTAATAACTATCAGAAAGAAATTAAGAAAATCCCATTTATAAGTGTATCAAAAAGAATAAAATACCTAAAAGTAAATTTAATTAAGGAGGTGAAAGACCTGTACACTGAAAACTGTAAGATATTAAAGAAACTGAAGATAAGTAGATATTCCATGTTCATGGATTGGAAGAATTAATATTGTTAAAGTGTCCATACTACCCAAAGCAATCTATAGATTTAATGCAATCCTATCAAAATTTCAGTGGCAGTTTTCACAGAAATAGAACAGTCAATCCTACAATTTCTATGGAACACACAAGACCCCAAACAGCCAAATCAATCTTGAGAACAAAGGCATCATGCTTCCTGATTTCAAACTATATGACAATGCTGTAGTAATAAAAACAGGTACTGGCATAAAAACAGATCAATGGAGCAGAATAGAGAGCCCAGAAATAAACCCACTCCTGTCTGATCAGTTAATTTATGAGAAAGGGGCCAAGAACATACAATAGGGAAAAGACAGTCTTCCATAAATGGTGTTGGGGAAAGTGGACCACAAACTTACACCATACACAAAAATTAATGCAAAATGGATTAAAGACTTAAATGTTAGACCTGAAACCATAAAACTCCTAGAAGAAAAAGTAGACAGTAAATTCCTTGACAATAGTCCTGGATTTGACACCAAAAGCAAAGGCAACAAAAGGCAACAATAAACAAAAGGCAACAATAAACAAGTGGGACTATATCAAACTAAAAAGATGCTGCAGAGTAAAGGAAACCATCAACAGAATGAAAAGGCAACCTGCTGAATGGGAGAAAATATTTGCAAATCATATATCTGATAAGGGGTTAATATCCAAAATATGTAAAGAACTCATACGACTCAATAGCAAAAAGAAAATCTGATTAAAAATGGGTAGATGATATTAATATATACCACCTTTTATTTACCCATTCATCCATCAGTGGACATTTAGATTGTTTCCATATCTTGGTTATTGTAAGTGACGCTATAATTAGCATGGGGTGCATATATCTTTTTGAGTTAGTGTTTCTGTTGTGTATACACACATATACAATGGAATATTATTCAGCCATAAAAAATAAAATCTTACCATTTATGACAACATGGATGGGCCTTGGGCATCATGCTAGTGAAATAAATCAAAGCAGATTGGTGGTTGCCAGAGGCTTGTGGAGGGGTGGTGGTGGTGAAATGGGTAAATGAGTCAAAAGCTACAAACTTCCAGTTATAAAATAAGTCACGGGATGTCATGTACAGCAGGGCTACTATGGTTAATAACGCTGTACTGCATATTTGAAAGTAGATTTTAAAAGTTCTCATCATAAAAAGTTCTGTAAGTGTGGTGACAAGTGTTAACTAGACGCATTGTGATTATTTTTCAGTATTTACAAATATTGAATCATTATGTTGTACACCTGAAACTAATACAATGTAGGCCAGTTAAACCTTAATTTATAGAGAAGGTCAACCCAAAGCAGGGTTGGAGCCTGATCAAAGCAAACCCATGGAAGAAAACATTTGAGACAACTGACATTTCATGTTTCCAAATTAACACAGGAGAATCTCTGTCTTTTCTAGGTACAGACTAAATCACTGATGAAATCACAGGTCTGGGCTTGGCTTCACCATTATCTTGTGTTTGGGGCTGTTGCGGCAGGGAGGGATGAGATGGGTAAAATGAACTGGGCGTAAGTTAATGATTGTTGGAGGTGGATGACCAGGTTCAACATATTCTCTACTTTTTGCATTTAACGTTTTTCATAATTAAAAACAGAAAAGGAAGCATAGTAGTGATAACGTAAAAAAAAAAAAATGCTTAAAACTCAAAGAATCACCGTTCTCCTGTTTGAACGGTGGGTTCAAAAGGAACTGAATTCCTCGAAGACCTCTGGGTTTAGGGTGCACTATTCGATAGTTTCCTAAGGAGGATGAAATGCAGAGTAAAAGCGGATCAGTTCTGTATTTAAGAAATGCTAGTATCTGGTTTTCTTGATAGTACTTCACTGGCCCATCAATCACCTAAATTTAGGAAGTTTTATAAAGGCTATGACTTTTTAAAGCACTTTAAAGATAAACAGATAAGTAAGCCTGTATTTAGCACCTTGTTAGGAAGTGTCACAAACTCTCATTTTAATTTGACAAAAAGCATATGAATTAGGTGGGGCAGAAAGGACTACTTTAGGGCTCATGCTGAACTGAGAGGGCTGAGACAAGTGGCACCCCCACCAAGTGCTTCTTTTCCAGTTTTAACTACAGTAAAAAGAGGAAGGAAAAAAATACAACTTAGCAGAAGTACTCGTTTTTATAAAAATGTGTTTTATTTTAAAACAAGTGTATAAAAGTAGAAATCACATACAAAAATACAGATTACTCTGACATGTTAGCAAAATAGCTTTTGGCTGGACTTGAGTTTGGAAGTACTATGTGTTTGAGGGCACCCGGAAGTCAGAGTCCACCCGGATCCTGTCCCCAGCCCTTGCCACTAATCTGTAAACAATAATCTCAAGTAGTATTTAGCACTTTTGAACTACTACAAAACTGAAACATAATCAGTTCTGGTATAACTACTTTAAAATGTTCTTCCTTAGGTCTTGGCAGATAAGGGCACTTCATACCATCGTTTCTAACATTTGGAAAATCTGATTTAAAAAACGTTAATAGAAATGATGGGTTTTGGCTTTTCTGTTTCATTTTGGACATATGGGGAGGTCCCATCTATTTAAATAAGAAATTAGTGTTTTGTTTAAGTAGAATTTAATCCGTTTGCTTCTATGTACCATCCAAAAAAAAAAATCACTGATGCTGTCAAAGGTTCAACACCTGAGTCTTAGCTTTTCTGCAGGTGCAAGCTGTGCTTACTGCTCTGGAACTACAGGACCTACCCCTGCTTCTAGTGTGTGCATTTCCGATTGAGAGGAACAGGCAGTTCTTAGGGGACGTTAGGTCCAGTAACCTTATAAAATGAGTAGTTTAAAACAGCGATTGTGGAAGACACAAAAAAGGGGGGGGGGGGATTTAAAAGACTTGATTCCAGAGTAATATAAAAATAACTTCAAGAACCTCAGCAACACAGGCAAGCGGCAGGCAACTTCAGTTCAGCATTCCAGCCAACATTTCAGGAACAGAGACTGGGTACTAGCACCTTTCTAAAACAAAGCAAGGCATATAAAAAGCGAAAGAACCCCCGCAACATCATTTGATCATAAAGTTAGAAGACCACCATCCTATCTCCTCAGCTACGTCAGTATTCTGGGAGCACAGTACTTTAAAGGATACTTCATTAATGTGCATTAGCACATCCTTCAGATCAACCTGTCACAGAAAACTGCCTCCTGAGCCTCCAAATTCTGTATCTGCGATTGGTTGTTTTTTAGGTTTTAAGGTGAACTACCCAGGACTACTTGTTCTGAGTCTAAATGCAAATCCAAAGGCAAAGTTGAAACGTGCCTCTTTCTGTTTCCATCCACAGAATGACTGCCTCAAACCGACTATCCTATGATTCTGTTCAGCTCACAATGTGAATAATAGCTTATCATTCTTCCAGTCTATGTCTCATAAAGCAATACTGGAAAATTAAATAGAAGAAAGTTAAGTTACTATATAGATCAAGAAAATGATTTGCTTGCTGGTGAATTGTAAGTTCGTTTCTAAACAGATTTAAGAATAAGGGCACTTGGAAGAGATGGCGCAAACTTTGCTCAGAATGGATCTTGAAATGACAGGCTCACTCTCCTGAAATTTCATAAGGCCCACGGCGAGGCTCTCAGAAGCATGGCAGTGACAGAGCTTTTATAGTCATTTAAGAAAAGCAACACTTCATAGTTTTCCTTCTCAAATGCATCTCTAATATACTTGCAGAACAAAGGCAAAGGGAAAACCAAGAATAAAAAGGGCTCCAGCAACTGGGCTTCTTGCCTATTTTCCCTGATCCCAAGAGAAAAGGAGACACCACCTTGCCCTGAATATTTCAGAGACAACTGGGCTTTTGCAGTGTCAGCCGGCATCTGATGCCCCATATCTCTGGGTGGCCTTTGGTGCCCACGGTAGGCCTGGCGATGGTGGTGAAGTGGGAACCATTAATCTGGATGTGAGGCAGGGCTTCCTGTAACAGCTGAAGGGTACCATCTGGCACGATTCCAAAAACTTGTAGTGTTTTTAGTGTGGGAATTTCTCCAAGTTCACTGGAAAGGAAGAGAGAGACTTTCAGAGTAGCGGTATCTATGGAAACCGTTCCACCAGAGTTACATGACCCAGTTTCGACAATTTGTACCAGACTATAAAATGCAAACTGAAAACGTAATTTGTAGTTGACGACTTAAGAAAATAGCAAAGGTGACTCCAACGGCGAAGCACAGGCCACAGCTCGGGCAGCATGGCCGCAGGAAACAAGCCAGTGCCTTCTGCCGAGTAACAACCAAAAACCTCCAAGTCGGTTCATTTAAAATCCAACCATGTTCGCTTCCTTTCTCCAGTTTTGATTGATCCTGGAAGGTGTTGCTGTGTTGTGAGGACAAGCTAGCAAGCTGGCTATGGGAAAAGGACCTGCTTTACTGTAGCACCAGTTGGAAACCACCAAAAGTTACATGCAGTTTAAGGACATGAACTTGATCTCAGGCTCCCCATCTCAAAAGATGTCAGGGGGTCGACAACTTCTTAATACTGTTAATAGTCTGCAGGTCCATTATATGTGATAGAACCTAACAGTCCTTCAGGGTATTTCGGACAGGGTTAGGCAGTCGGGTACAGATGGAGAAGGGGGGATCAGTCACGCCTTTAGAGGAGGCAATGGCCATCTTACCTCTCCTACATATCACACATACCACACGCATAAACTAATCCTCTTAGGTGTTTCATGGGAGGTGAAATAGAACTCTGTCAACAGTGACATTCTGGTTCATAAAAAAAGGGAGCTCATTTACCCAGTCAATACTTTTTGGTAATGATTCTTTCTTCTTAACCCAGATCTGTGTGCTGAGAAATCCATCTCTCTGATCTGTATTTGCTCCAGATTGGGACACACAGTACAAAGTCTCAGAGAGGGAATATTTGGTTTGGAATTTCAACAAAACCCCACTGCAGATCAATGAACAATATCAATGACCTGGAGTTAGGGGCATCCTTTAGATTTTCATATTGCCAGTAGTTACTTAAGAAACAAACTTTCCTTATAATAGCTGTCACCTTGCCTTCAATGTTTCTTCCTTCCAGCCTAGTCTATATACCAATGTCCAAGGCACCTTCCGAAAGCCTAGCTCAGATTACGCCCCCCCCAACCCCCGCTCTGAAACCTTTGATACTTCCCTGGTGTTTGTGGAACCCCAACTGGTCAGCCTTAAGACCGTCTGTGCCAAAACTGCTCACCCAGTCTTCCCACTACTCTAGGTGTATTTATTCTACATTCAACAAAGCGTCTTAAACGCCAAAGATATCTCATATATGTTAGCTAAATACAACATGAAGGGTAGTTTAGGAAATAAAAGTACTACCCAAATAAAATAAACATGCCTGGTGTTCACAAGGGGACAACAAGACATGGAAAGACATTTCATCTTGAGAAACTTTTAAGGATAGAGTACTAGCAAACTCATCTTAATGGACTCACAAGGTTAGCCTGTGAGCCTAAAGAAACACTCTCTTCTACCTTCAAGTTCAAGGAAAGCATCTCTTTTCTTCTTTCTGTTCTCACTCTGTTCTGGTGGGTCTGACTTGCAACTAAACTGGTGCCCCGTCTCTCTTATTTCAATGTAAAACTTAGATAAATAAGTCATAATAATGCAGGGGGGGTTCACACCCAGGTGTGACTTCAGACCCGCACCCTTAACGATCAGTCACACAGCCAGCAGGTATCACTAAGCAAGTGTTATTATCCCACTGGATAAAAATAATAAAATGGGAGGGCTCTCAGCCTCTTTTAGCCTCTGCTCAAGAAACAGCATTTGGGGATTACCTGCTTAGCTCCTTTCTCTCTGTAGAGAAAGAACAACAGCACGACACATGGATAGAGTGCCTTGAGATAAGCAACCCAAAAGGAAGGATCTCTGCACTCCCCAGGAGGCTACACAGGCACTGAGGCTGAAGGCCAGGTGGCAGGGACAGGAGAGAACAGACGACGGGGCAACGTTTTTGGGTGGATACTAGAGGCTCCCAGGAGTTGTGGATGCTAGAAGGGCGGGAGGTTTTAATAGGAGTCCCATGCATATGAATTTAGACCCTAACATCTAAGAGCCATGGAAGTAAATACTGGCATCCCTTTCAGGCAATGCGTTTCCACATGAGATGCCAGCTCAGGCCCTGAGCCCAAGATTAACTGAAGTAATTAATTCAAAATATAATTACTGGACTCCCTAATTCTACCAGTTAACCCTGTACAGCTGGAGTATCTGATTTATTCATTAATTCTTGAAACTAACAAGATCCAAACCAATAATCTGAGGACTACATAAATTGTTTGTTCAAATGCACCACCTTCTTTGGTAGGAACCAGAGCTCAATTATCTTCATTTGGATTGTGAGCTGCACAAGGTCAGCAGCCTCATTCGGGGCATCCTGGCTGGAGTAAGAAAAGACACCTGATCAAGTCCAAGATGCCGACTTCTTGTGGTTTTCAATAAATCTGCTATACATTTACACTTGATATGAGGAAGAATTTTCCAGCCCTTTGGGATGAAAGAAATGAAACCTTTTAAAAATCAAGAGATGATATTTTTCCCAGGGTGACTTGTGTATATATAGCAGCACTTTCAAAAACAAAGATGGACCAGATTCCTTTTTTCTTTGTACTCGCTTGATTTTGTGGAAGTGGCTGAGCAGGTACAAAACCACTCCTAGTAAAAGCTGCCAGATTAGATACAGCTGTTTTGCATCTGTCCAGCAGACCTAGGCTGTTGACCCATTTCAGCCACTGACTCACTATACAGCTTTGGGTTAAGCAGCCTCACTCTTGGCCACAAGCTCCCCTCTTCTCAGAGAGCATCAGACTCTTACAATACTTACCACTTAAATATTTCTATTCTTCCCACTCCTTGACCATCCAGGACAGACAGCACTAGATCATGGAAGTTTTCCTCTAAGCCCAGATAGAAAACTTTTGGAAGCAGGAGTCTGATTTGAAAAATTTGGACAAAACCACGATGGGTCTGCCTCCCGTTATACTCTGAGCTCCCTGGAAGTAAAGGCCGTCGTCTTCTTGCTAGTACAGTATTCTAATATTTAAACCTGCTCACAGCTAAATAATAAATGCTTGGTAAATTATTTCAGTCAACTCACCTTTACAAGATATTTTAAGCAATTTTGCCTTGGTTTTTCTAGTTTGCTGGTCCCTCCAAACCAGCTTGTATTACACTGATAGTGGCATGTCTTTTGGTTCCTGCCTTCTAGTAGCTTTAACAAAACAAAACTACTCACAGTAAAGTTTCAGGTATTATGTCGTAGCACCGACTGAGCGACAGGTGTTGGAGGTAGTTGAGCTGGTAGAATTCTGGGAAGCAGTCGTGGTTCAGCATGACGCTATCACTGTCATGGAACAGAAGAGAAGATTCACAGCCCGCCCCTCAAAGCCAGCCGGGGAACGAAAAATAGTCCACGGTTGAGTTCCTTCAACTCAACCTATTAGATCCTTTCCTCATTCAATGAGAAATTGTGATTTTTCACTTACTTTTTTCTAAAATAAAAAATGAAAAAAATACCTTAAATCTAGGCGGACAAGATTGGGGCATCTTCCAATTAAGGTAGAGAGATCTAGAAAAAAAAATGATGGTCACTAATAAGGAACAAGACAAAGATCTCTGCTATCAATACTATCATTTATCACTGGGCTAGAAGCTCAAAACAATGCAACCGGAGTCACACACTATTAGAAAGAAAAACAAAATCATCGCCTCAGGATACGAGATTTTTCTACCCTGAAAATCCAAGCAAACCACCTCAAAACTATTGGAAATAGTAAGAGAACTGTGCAAACTGAGCAGTTAGCAACAATCCACAGCTTATTTATGTATCAGCAGGAATGGTGTGTGTGTGGGGGGGGATCCCATTCACAGTAGCAAAAAGCAAAACCAAACACCACTATATAGTTACAAGCCACATAATGTTTCAAAGACGGACCACATATACAAGGAAGGTCCCATAGATCATAATGGAGCTGAAATTCCTATCATTTAGTGACGCAATTGTTGTAAATGTTGAAGCGAAACGCATGGCTCACGTGTTTGTGGTGATGCTGCGTCAACAAACCCACGACACTGCCAGTTGTATAAAAGTAAAGCACCTACAATTGTGCAGGACGTAATACTTGATAATAAACAACTGTGTTACTGGTTTATGTATTTACCACACCATACTTTTTATATTATTTTAGAGTGTACTCTTTCTACTGTAAAAAAAGTTTTCAGTGTAAAGTATACTAAAAGTACAAAGGTTTCTATTCGAGACTCTAGACTCAACCCTTGCTGCTGCTGTATGCCTTTACCTAACCCTTCTGATCAGCTGCTCCCTCATCTGAAAAACGGGGGAAAATACAGGCCCGGGATGGAATGAGGCAGCTTAGGTAGGACCGCCCCTGGGAGGCGCTCAGTGAGCCAAACCCGCTACCTGATCGCTGGAAGTTCTTCCGGTAGCCGCTAAGGTTCAGCTGGGTGACAGTCTCTGACACGTGCCCCACGGCCACTTGCACGTGTTTTTCAGTGAAGTCAAAGCACCAGGAGAGGTTCAGCTCATCCAGTCTGCACACCAGAGGGGCAACAAGGAAAGCATGAGACCGCCGCACAGGAGTGAGTGCTCGAGGCAGCACTGCCTCTGCCGCAGGGGGCAAATACGAAGCCACTGATTTCTCACCATGCCACGCACAGGACGTCTGCTGCTCCAAGCGGCTTCCTTTGCTCACTGAAAACTGTCCCGCCCCCTCCCCGTTGACACACTCCCCTGCTCCTTTACCCCCGAAAGTCTGCAGGGGATTTGAGCCAAGGCCTGAGTGAATGCTGCCCCCTTCTGGAAATGGAGGGGAGGACTCTCCTCCCTTCCTAAGGGCTCAAACCTCAATCCGGAACTGAAAGCAGAAATCCCAGCCCCTTTCTTACCCAACCACCCAGGTTATTAGCAAACAATGACACAGACTGAACAATCATCTGAGATGTTTTAAACAAGTGACTCCTGATAAAGAGACACTGAAGTTGCAGAAAACTGCTTCATCTTATTTGGCCTCTGACTGGGCCAATAAGGCAAAGAAAATGTCCAACCATTTAACCGTACAGAGAAAATATAGGGTTTATATTTTATCTCACCGATGACATCCAAAGGCAATCTACATTCATCAGATCATGAAGGAAATATTGGCACAACACTATGAGGTATATGCAGAGGCGAAGGGATATTAAAAATGACACACCCGCACCACACACAGTACTGTGTGTTCTGTGACCCATATCTTCCTCTCGCTGTGATATCTTATCTTGATAGCCTTTATTTATATACTGACATTAACACAGCAGAAAAGATAAAAACGGTTAAGTCTACAGATATTAAAGGGGAGGAAAAACCTGACTGTAGAATTAAGTGTAAACAGATTTCTTTCAACCACGCTGTTGATAAACGTATTACTACATTTTCCTTTTTAAAATAGTAATACCACAAAAAGGGATCGCTACACAAGCATCCTTTGCAGACTTATTGAACTGGCTCCTGAGTTTGGACAGAAAGTTTAGGAGAGCAAAGGATATTATTCAAATCAAGAGCTGAGTTCGGATCAGCTCGAGAGAGCTCCCAGTTCCACTCAGATGTGCGTGGGGACTGTGCACGCGAAGCCACAGCGCTACGGCCCGGCCTCGGCCTTGCCTACCTGCAACAGCTACTCAGCAAAGTCTTCAGGGCGGACTCTGAGAAGCCGGAGCACCCAGAAAGGTTTAGCCGCACCAAATTTGAATTCTGCGCAAGGTTACTGGGAAAAGAGAAAAGTGTCAAAAGACTCCCATTAAGACACTCTTACTGATCAATAAGCATTCTGAGGAAAGCAGGCTGGTGAGGTGGTTAAGCACCGACAGGCCTTGCAGTCAGCAGCGAGCTTAAATTCATGTCGCGCGGATAATGGGTTTTCAGGTGGTAAACACATAATGCAATATGCAGACGATGTATCATAGAATTGTACACTTGAAACCTATATAATTTTATTAACCAATGTCACCCCAATAAATTTAGTTAAAATTAAAACGTGAAAAAAATTTAAATTCACATCTCACTATGTGTACTACACCGAGCAGGATGCTCTCTCTGCCTCAGTTTACTCATCTGTGAAATGGTAGTGTCAGTATCTTCTTGGTAGGGTTGTTAAAATGAAGTGGTATAATTAATAAAGGGCTTAACACAGTGCCTGGCACAGAGTAAATACACAGGAAACATTCAAGAATGTACTTTTTAAATTAAAAAAAAAAAAAGGCAACAGAATAAATATATTTCCATTTCACCCACAATTGGAATTAACTTGTAGGCAAACTTCTACTTATAAAGTCCCTGGGTTCTTTCAATTAAATGTCTCTCAAATTTGCCTTCTCTACGTTCCCAAAGGCCTCGTGTTAGTGAAACTTAGTGACTAAGAGCAAGTTCTGGGATCATCACGGCCAGGTTCAAATCTTGGTGCTGCCACCTATAAACTGTGTGACCTTGGATAAGTTATTCAGCCTGTGCCTCAGTCTCCACACTGCAAAAAGGGAATAGTAAGAACATATTTTATGGGACTTTGAAGAACTTAGTATCCGGCACACAGTAAGTGCTCAGTAAATGTTGGTGGCTATCATGATTATTACTCTATTTTTTACATCAGGTTTTATCATTTCTCACCTGGGTGAACACAACAGAGTCCTAAACTAACCTACTTTCTTCCAGGTCTGCCTGAGCCTCTGAGGTGGTCAGCGAGTTGATTTTCTAAATTTCAGCTCTGCCCTGTTCCTTCCATTCTCAGGAGCATGCTCTTTACACGCTTCCCTCTTCACAGCCCACGGCGGAGTCGCCTTCTCCCAGCACGGCAGGGCCCTTGCAGATCTAGATCTGATCCCCGTTGTCCATGTCCATGTTTTTTTTCTTTTTCGCTCAATCCCTCCTGGCCCCCACTAATACCCTCTCCCCCAACCCGAGCTGTCTGCCTGCTCTCTATCTACGAGTCTGTCTCTGTTTTGCTTGTTAGTTTCATTAGCCCCCATATGACTGAAGGTGGTACATGGGGGATAAACGGTGATAGAAAAACAAAACCAAAAACGAGTAGTGGGGGGAAAAAAAGAGAATCTGATTCCTGAGGCGCCTCACGTCCGGCCACCCGCCACGCCCCTCACTGAGCCCTGTGCTCGTGATTCCCAATGACAAGTGTACAGCCACAGGCGGCTTTCCCTTCAAGGAGGTATCTTCAGCACTCAGCTTTAGTCACTTCCTCCAAGAAGGCGGCCCTCCCTACACTTAATTAGGTCTCACTATATGTTGCCACGTATTCACCGACCCAGTTAACACACCGCACTGTAATTATCTGTCCCTCCCACGCAGGAGGCAGGGCCTGTGCCCTTATTTGCCCGCGCATCTCCAGAACACAGCACAAGGCCTGGCAGGCAGGTAGCATGCACCTAACGTCATTTGCCTGGATGAATCCTGGAGATATTCTGAGTCCGTCTGGATATGGACAGTGGGGCACCCCAGTTATACCCAGGAAACGATGGCCATTGTGACATGCTCCGGGCTGCCACTCACTTGACAATGGGATCCGAAAGCTGTAGGCCTTCCAGGCTGAGATTCTGCAGCTTGGAGCACAGAGACAGAATGCCCTGGAGGGTCGACACCTCGATGACCGAGTTCGACAGGTCCATGTGCTGCACGCGGAAAGGGCTGGGCACGGGAGAGAAAGAGAGGCTCTGCTAGGTGGCTCACACAGTCCGTCCAGATCAGAGCCGACCCTGCCTCCTCCCCAGTGAGCACAATCACACTGAATGCACACTGCAAGGTTTCACTTTAGTTTTTGCCATAAAACAGATCGCTCCTAGTGAATTCCCATCCTTGCTCATTTTAAAATTCAACAGGATTTTTGCCAAGTCAAGATGTGGCTGCCAATAGAGTCCCACTTAGAGATCAATCAGTGGGCATCGTGAGATCGAACTGGGTGTGGGTGACTAGGATCTTATGCCTAGGATGCCTTCTGGTGAGGAGGAGGGGTGGGGGGCAGTGGCAGATGAAGGAAGAGAGGTTGTGAGGGGGGCTGAGTGTGATGTTAGATACGCTGATACTGAAGCCTTGGAGGAAATTCAGGTGTGGGAGTTTCTAGGTCATTGGAAACGGGAATTTGTTTGAAGGAGAGGAATGAGCTACAGATGAGGACCTCAGGGTTCCAGCATACACGTGGGTGCACAGGACATGGCTGTCCAAGGACAGTGTGAGGACTGAGAAAGAAGGCAGCTGGAGTGAGCAAAGGAATATGGGAAGGAGAGAAACAGCCACAGCACAGGGACAAACGCCAGCAGGACAGGAGTGCCACCATCTGGAGACAAAGTGGTGGGAAAAATCACTCGAATCAAGATACAAGTGTCATCCTTCCTCTGTCTTTAGCTTATTTTTCTGTTCCGTATCTAGTCATTCTACTCAAGTCTGAGCTGGCACCAAGCTGTATTAGTAACGGGAGTTATTTCAAAATATCCTACAAAACACACAAAAGGAGGACCCTTCTTCAGGTTGCAGATTTGTCCACGATGGGATCGGAAACCCAGAGCTCTCGACCTGAAAAGACTCCTCACGAGCTCTTTTCTTTCTCTGAAATGGGCATTGGGGAAGCAGCCAGGGTGCCCTGGGACCTGCCACAAAGGCTCACGGGCCACCTGCTGAGGACCCGCTTCAGAAGCTGCCAGGCACCTCTGAGCCAGGGAGGAGCCCAGCAGTCACCCCGAGTTAAAACGAGTTAAACAGGGAAGGGTGTCACTGAACCCTGTGCCCCGTGACCCCCATAGCAAAATATACAATTAGCGTCCCACACCGCACAGACGGCCTGTTGCAGGCTCTGTCAGGTTGGACGTAGGGGGAAAAAAAGCGTTGATCTGTTCCCACCTCGAGATTTAGAAATAAGTCTTTCCCTGGGATTCGTCTTTTTTACCTGAAATGTTCAACTAATGGCTGGTCCACAAATGATCGCGGGCAGCAGAAGGCAACCACCCCTTGAGACAGCAGCCGCCCAATCACTTCTGGGTGCAGGTTTTTGCCTGTGAGGTCCAGGGTCTGCCACAGAGACTCGTCAAACCTGGAAGAGACGAGGCGCTCGGTTTGGCAAGTTGGGGGCACTGGGTACGGAGGCTCTCGGGGCCATTGCTAATGAAGCGGATGAGCCAATAAGTTGCCTCCCAACTCTGAAGACACCTTTGCTTTGAAGTCGACTAAACTAGTTACGACATTTTCAAGGCACTGTGGAATACGTCTTGGCTATATCATGGATGAGCTTCCGTGTTCCTCTTTATACATATTTCTACTTTGACGCTGTCATCAGCCACCTAATGCAAGGATCTGGACTCAGAGAATAAAATTCCAGCGTTCAATTCAGTTTGGTAACTTCAAAACTGATTGCTCCGAATGCCTGATTATTGATGAAGTGGATAGGTTCAAAATGGCCACTATGATCCCTCTTGCCATTTCTATTAAGCTAAACAGGTTACCACAGTTACCCCAAATAATGTGTCAATACAGCTACAAGTGGGACACTTAGCACTTTATTATGAGCTATGACTCTTGGACATCTACCAGGAAAAAGTTATAGTTCAGCTCTGTTTTATAATAGCTCTTAGGTGCACGCACACACACACGCATAGAAATGCACGTGTATATATATAAACTAACGTGAAAGGAAAAAATATCACTTAGATTTTGGAGTGTTTCTAACGCAAAAAAGGAGGAACTGATACTGAGCACACAACCAGGGAGCTTAAACAGCCACAGATTAATTCCATTTGACAAAAAGGAAACACGAGATCAAGCACACGAGGGAGCCTTTGAAATGCCTACCAGAATTATATGTTTTGACACTGCCCGAAGTGAGCAGCCCACTGGCGAGGGCTTTGAAATAATTCTGCCTAAAGAAATTGTCAATGTGTTGTTTGATCTCTGTTATTAACTTGCTGACCGGCTATTTCGAGCCAGAACTTGCCCGTGCAGCCGGATACTTTGGTCAACAAGATGTTTAAAGTTTCTTAAGGAAATCTAAGTGCAGACACGAGTTATCTCGTGACCGGTCAGCAAGAAGGCAGGGCCGGCGCCGGCGCATGAGTGCTTTCTGAATGGGCGTTGACTCCGCACGATGAGGACGAGGGGGGGGAAAAAGAAAACCAAGTGGGGTCGCTCAGCTGGGAGGAGCTGAACTGTGAAGACCGAGGTGTCTTATGCCCAGCACCCCCGAGTGGAAAGGAAGGGGCTCCTCCTGTCTCGCCACGGGGGTCCTTGGTGTGTGAAGAGAGAGAGCTGCCCAGGGGCTGGATGGGGAGAAGGGCTGAAGGTGGAAAAACCAGCCTTTTTGGCCGCCTCCGGCCTGTTCCTGCCTTTCCAGCTCACCAGGACTCTCCACGTGCAGCTCACTGCCCACACCTGAAGGGCGCTGTCCCCCGACCAGGAAGCACCAGCACCTGCGGCCGCCACGTGCTGACAGCTTCCAGGGCCGGCCCCGCGCAGGCGGCATCTGTGTATCCGTCTTCACAACTGTCCTGTCCCGAAGGTGCCTTATTCCCACTTACCTACTGGGGATGAAGCTGAGTGTTGTGGACTTCCCTGGGGCCACCCAGAGCCGCGGCGGCAGGGGCTGGGCCCCGTGCCCTCTCCCCCTGCACCCCCGCCCAGCCCAGCAGCTGCCTCCTCTGTAACTCCTTTGCCCAGGCCCAGGGCAAAGAGGGTCTCAGAGATGGGTAAGTTTTCACCTCCAGGTGAAATAAGACGCTAAGTACTTATAGAAACAGGAAGATACTTGTTTGCTTTGTGCTACTCTAGCTTTCTGGGTTTTTAGTCTCATCAGACCCAAATGGTGAGTAAACTGCCCTTCTCTCCCCGCTCCCCATATGCCAGGGGGAGTGGGCAATACTCACGCTAGGTGGTACCACCTCTTACAGACACAGGAGACGTGGAGGAGCTCGGGGAGGGCCAGGCAGGAGAAGATGCCCAGGAGCAGCTCGTCTGGGAGGGAGTCCCAGGAAACACCTTCAAGAAATAAAAAAGTGTTTTCCCATCACCACTGCTTTTACTGCCAAGTCTACTGACTCTTTTCATGCACGCAAAGGATACACAATATTCAGCCTGAAACAGGAATATAACGCTAATCAAATTAACTCCTTCTCTCGATTGTTTTCCTGTCCACCCGCTGTGTAGGCACCATGAAGTAAGCCCCGTATTTTCTTGGCAAAGAAAAGGGGAAACCATGAACGCTTTTCACAGAACTCATCCTTCGGTGCCCGCCAGGCAATCTTTGGCAAAGGCTCAGAGCACGTCCGCAGCCCTCTCAGAGGTCATACAAGGTCTGAGGTATCGTGATATTTCTGGTCGCTAAGGATTAGGTGGAGGGCTTATCAAGTAGTGACCTTATTTAAAAGGCAATGGGCCTTCCTCTCTTCTGTCAGGTTTACAATTTACCTAGAAGTGTAATATCAATCATCTACTAGTCAACAAGTATGTACTGAGCAGGGGTTTCAGGCGTCGGGGAGAGAGCAGTAAACAGGGCAGACAAAATAGGAAACAGGCAATCACACATAAAAAAATTAGTAAACGACATGATGTGTGAACACTGATGGGTGCTATGCATAGAAATTAAGCAGAATAAAGGAGACGATGGGGAGTGTGGTGGGTGCTCAAGGTCTGGACACAGTGGGCAGGCAAAGCCTTGGAGAGATGGAGATCAGCGAGCAGAGGCTTGAGCAAAGCGAGGGAGTCGGCCCTGTGGGAGTGGGGGGGGGCAGTGTTCTAGGTGCAAGGAACAGCATGTCTGCTTTGAGGAACATCAAGGAGTACAGTGCAGGGGGTAAAAGACGAGGTCATGCAGGGCTTTCTTTGTCATGATTGGGTCTTTGGCTCTGACTCAATGTGCTGAGCAGTCACTAGAGGGGCCTGAGCATAGGAGTGACAAAATCTCGATCTCCTGGTAAGTTTAAAAAAGAAAAAAGTTACTATAGCTGCTGTGTTCAGGAAAAAATGGAGGTAGATCGAGGAAGACCAGTTTTCTTAGTCTCAAAAAAAAAAATCTCTAAATAGCCATCCAACAAGTAGTAAACGCTTACATATATGACAATGGCCAAGAAGGAAACAAGCGTGCACCAAAGAAATACTGAGAGTTGTCAGATTCGCTCAATAACTGGCCTTCCCAAGCTCCTGCTACCTTCCATTGATCTATGCCAATTTAGAGCCAGCCTCTCCCCTCCGTGACGGTTAATTTTCTGTGTCAACTAGACTGGGTCTAGAGTTCTGGGCGAGTCAGTGAGGGTGTTTCAGGCTGAGATTAACATCTGAATCAGTAGACCTGATAAAGCAGAAGGTCCTCCCTGTGTGGGGAGATCTCCTCCAATCCAGGGCCTGATCAGAACAAAAGACTAATTAAGGAAGAGCAGGCTCTCTCCCTGGGGCGTGGCTCTCCAGCTTGCAGACCCTGGACTGGAACCTACACCCCGGCTGTCCTGGTTCTCAGGCCTCAGGAATGCAGATCGTGGGTGGGACTTTCCAGCCTCCATAATTCCTAACTGCGTGAGCCAATTTCTTAAACTCAATCTCCACCTGTCTCCTACTTGTTCGTTAGTTGTCTCCGGAGAGCCTGCATATACAGCCCCCCCCCCCATTTAAAAGGGGCCAGTATTTAACAGTGACTGTACCGGGCTCCTGAGGACCTGAGGGAGAAAGGTGAGGCACAGGGCGGCTGCTGCCTCCAGGCACATTCCGAGCAATCTTCCCAATCTTTCTCAAACAATCCTGCCCTTCCCTCCACTAGATCCCTTCATTGCTGTCCCCCCAAATATTTAGCCTAAAGTCTATACCAATCAGCATGAAGTTCAAAGCTTTCACGTTATGACCCAATATTTTTCTATGTTCACTATCTAGAAATGTGTCCCAGAGATTTAGTTCTTTATAATTCTTAGAGTCATTTGCGTTCCGCCTGTATATGTTGTGTCCACCCCCGACTGCTATTAATTTAAAACCAATTGCTAGTAAAGACCCCACTCCTATGAAGACCTCCACGATAGCACCAAACACAGGTTTGGTTACAATTTATTATTTACTTTCTCATCTGTCTGGTCTATCACTAGACCACAAGTTCTTGAGAACAAGAATTCATTTAAAAAAAATCTTTGTATTCCCAAGAACTAGCACAGTGTCTAAAACATTCATCCATTCGTGTACTTATTGAACATGTACTATATGTTGGGGTCTTTTCTAGGGATAAAAAGATGAATAAGGCACAGCCTGCTCAGAGCCTGAGACACACAGACAAGGGAGGAAATTTCAATGAAGTATCATGATAGGCAGGGTTCAGGGTGCTGTGCAGTGTATGGGGGTGGAGCAGTGGTCAGGGAAGCCTTCCTGGAAGAAGTAGCTTTTTTGAAGAATGAGTAAATGTGCTGTTGCTCAACGCCTGCCCCCCTCTATCTACAGGACAAAATTAAAGGCTCTGAATGCTAGGGGTAGAGGCATGAAGGCAGATCATCAATGTTGACCCTTGACCAAGACCCGGGGAGCAGCTAGAGATTACACTGAGGCTCCTCAGCATGGCAGCCACCCTCCCACGTCACCACCACAAAGGTCCTCCAAGGTCAGCATACACAGAGGTCGAAGGTCCTCAAACCAGGCTCCTGCTCAGCTCCCCTAACTGGAAAAAAGTTGATGGACAGGTTTTTCTCAAGTTTTTCTTCCATTAAGTCTTCTGAACTCCCTGACCTCTGCTGCCTCTTGTATCTGGAGATTAGATTGTAGCATTTGATTTGGCAAAAAAATTACATATTTTGAATCTAAGGTTGAGATTTCACCATGATCTGCAAAGACCATCCTGGCACCAGGTGCCTGACCCCCCGAACCCCCCGCCCCCAACTAGCGTAAGAACTGCTGCAAGAAGGAAGAAACTTTGATTGGAATTCAGCAATGCTGCCGCCAAATCCATGAACCTTGGGCAGGTTACAGGTTGCTTAACCCCCCAGGCTCAGTTTCTTCATCTGTAGGAATGGGGATGGAAAGATGATCTCCAAAGTTGTTCTCTGCGAAGGTTAATATATGGGAAAAGATTGAGCGGCAGAGTCTAACTCTCTCTCGTCTCTCTTCCTTTCTTTTCCCCACTGAATCTGCACATTTTCTTCTTGGGGCCTCTTCAATGCTGCTTCAAATTTTCACTCTAAGGTGAAAAGGGAGGCACAGTGTGATTTACCAAGACCCCCAAACCACCCTCTAGCTAAGCTTGGGATCCCCAGAAGCAGGTCCCGAGGATTGGAATTCAGGTCATTTCTTTAGGACGTGATCTCAGGAAGCCCTGGAAGGAATGGGGGGCGATGTGGAAGGGAAGGAAGCCAACTCTGTTAAGGAAACATGTTAGTCAGGAGGTTGTTGCTATGGGCAGCGGGTTCAAATCTGCTGGGGGCTGCAGGAGACCACCCCAGAGCTGTCCCAGCAGAGGGCATGGGTGCTGGGGTATTAATCTACCAATGCTGTCAGTCACCGGTTGGGGGCTTCTGGGAGGGAGGCAGGAGTGCTAACTCCCCAGCACACCTGCGTGCAGGAGAAAGCTGTGGGAACCATGAGCTTTAAGGGGCTATGGGTGGGCCACTGAAGCGTCCACTAAAGATGGGTGGAAAGAAAAGTAGAGAGGCTTGCTCTGTGAAGTACAGGGCAGGAGAAATGAACAAACTTGGTGCTTCCTATTTTATTGGGAAGACATAAGAAATCAGGAACAATATACAGATAGGTAGTTAAAACGCTAGGAGGAAAGTTTGGCATAGCAATGAATGCAGAGGTCTGCAGAGGGCAGCAAAGCCAGGCAATGAAGCCACGTGAGCAAGAGAAGCCTGGAATTACGGCTTTGCATTGCAACTTCCATCTTCACTGCCAACTCCTAGGCATCCTTCAGATCCTTATTAAATGTCACTTCCTTGGAAGAGCACTCCCAGGTCACCACCACAGCCCCCATGCCCAGATCACGCCCAGCACCTAGCACAACGCTTGGCACACTGCAGGCACTTGCTAAATCTTTGCTAAATGCATTATACCTTTTACTCTCCCCTCATGCAAACTGTGAATGAGCTAAATAAAAAAACATATCCTTGAGGATTTAAAAAAAAATTGTCACTTACTGAGAGCCCTAAAAGTCTCAGGTATTTAGTAGAGCAACCTAATCTTTGCAGTAGCCCTTGTACTAAGTAGCATTATCCCATTCTATAGATGAGCAAACTTGTCTTAGCCAAGCTAAAGAATCTAGCCAAGATGATATTGACCATTAGGTGACAGAGCCAAAGGTCCAACTTGGTTCTGTTCTGTCTGTTCCAAATCCCACAACCCCAAGGAAAGGCGTGGAGCCATAAGAAGTAGGTGTTGCAAGGCTGGCCAGGAGGCAGAGGGCACTGCAGGTGGGCACACAGCACCTGCAAAGGAATAGCTTGGCACTGTTAGCATTTGGGGGGGAATGACGCTGAAGACAAATCAGGGCACAAAGGAAATGTCCTATCAGAACATAAGCAGCCTTTGAGGTGGGGGAAGGGGCTCCAGGAGAAGATGCAACTATGACAAAAAGGGCAAGGTCACACAACTAGCTGGTGGCCTAGTGGGAATTCAAACCCAGGTCTGACTCCACCTCTCATGCCTTCTTTCTATCCTAGGATGCTCTAAGATTACATGCTCTCCCTGTTCTGAGTACTTGATGTTCTACGAGCTCAGGAAAGGTGAGAATTAAACCTGACTTTCTATGAAAAAAAATCCCCACAAAAAACGACTTCAACCAGGGCTGGGAGGGAGAGGTGGAGAGGAGAGGGTATGAAACAAAGATGCTGAGAGCTATCAAGGGCTTGGCTACCAGATGGAAAGAGAAATGGCTCAGAAAGTGTGCCAGCAGCCAAATCCCCAAGGCCCCACTCAGTTGACCACAGGGCCATGGTGATTCTAGGGCCCCTGGGTGGGGGTGTCGCAGCCTAAAATTGGCTGCTGCCCAAGCGGATGGGGGCAGAAGTCTGCCTTCACGTAGCCGCTCTAGCGGCGGTACCCAGGCCTGTGATGTGCGTAATCTCATTTGACTTGCCATATTTAATTCTCAGAACAGCAACCATCTGTTTCCTGGATTCCTGGCTGCGCCGCTGCCTGGTCTGTTTGCCCAGAGCGCGTGAGAAAGTCCAGAACAGGTCTTTCCTCCCCTGGCCTCCTGTAAACCGCCCAGGGCTGCTCGGGAAGGGAAATCATTCTTCAGCCCAAGGCCTCCAGCCTTCAGCTCCATGGAAGCCGTTGGCCAGACTCACATCCCTGCCAGTCATCACCCGTGGCCACCACCATTTCCACAGCCCTGAGGTGCAAACCCAGCCATCCGCCCCTGGACTCATCACTGCTCATGCCTCTCAACTCCTCCGGAAAGAAATGCTCATTGGAGAGTTGTCTGAGTTTCAGATCTTTGCAGGATACGGAACTCCTCTCACTCGACCTATTTCTTTCTGGGAACATCACTTATACTCAAATTCAACTTAAAACACTGCGTCATCTTAACCATAAACAAAACTTTGACTCCACTCTCCACAGGTAAACTGTACTTGAAGGGGAAGCAGGCCCTGCCGCTCATACCTACTGTTTTTTGTGTATTGTTTAAGGGTGAGGGCTCAACTCATGTCTGTCTTTGCTAGCTTGTTGTTAAGTAGTAACAACCCAGGCTTCCTTTCTGGGAAGCTACAGATTCCGCCATCTGAGATGAGTTTTCCTTCCTCTTTCCACACGTCACAAAAAGAAAGAACACACTAGATCACGCTAGCTCTTGGTGTTTTTGTTTTTTTGCTATGTGGGCAAAACTGAAGAAAGCAAAATACAGCAAAACCAAACCAGAGGTGCTCAGTGATCCCCTCTGCCCCACAACCCTAGATTTCTGTGAGGCTCGCTCACCCCTGGAGTGTGGGAAGAACAATGGAGAAACCATGGAAATAGCGATTTGGAAAATAAGGTACAGTATATAAGCTCTATGAGAGCCAAGTTTTTCGCCTGTCATGTTCACTGCTGTGTTTCTAATCTCTAGAATGGTGCTCAGTAAGTCTCTGCTGAACTAATGAATGAATGAATGAATGAATGAATGAATGAAAGCTACAGAGCAAAGAAAGTGCCTGGGAAGGTCCCGTAGAGGATCTAACAGCTGAGTTTTGAAAGATGCAGGCTGAGATTCATTGGTGAGTCGTGAAATCAGTCTAGTTTGACCAGCACTGTATTTTTTTTTAAAATTATTTTTATTGATTTTAGAGAAAGAGGAAGGAAGAGGGGGAGAGAGAGAAACATGGATCAGCTGAGCCCGTACCGGGCATGTGCCACGACTGAGAACTGAACCAACACTGTTTTTGAAAAATGGGATGGAACAGAATAGGAAGTACCTTAGTAAAGGGAATATGGTTTTATGAAATATCTGTTTTAGATACCCAGGACTGCAATGTAAAATATATTTCTTATTGGTTAAAAAAAAAAAAAAAATTGGAGGAGCTCTGTTTGCCTGGGGCTATTAAAGCAGATTCCAGGTTTAAGGAAGGACTTCTTGGATCCGTATCTCAGGAATTTTGCACTTCGAACAAGGTCCCTTGGGGATATCAGCATACTCTAAACTTTGGAGTCTCCAGTCTGAGAACTAGTGTGGGGTCTGGAATTTGAAGCAGTTTAACAGCCACGGGAAAGTGATCAACAAATTAGTTCAACAGTGTTTTCGTGCATCCTGTTTGGAGGGAGAGGGGGGAAGCAGCAAAGACAGGACAAGGGCAGGCATTTAATGCCCACAAATAAAATGTAGTTGTCCTGTTTCTGCCTATCAATGACCTCACTACTGGCCATTTCTTCCAAACTCCTTCCACACACTCACCCCAAGGGCCAATCAGGCTTGTCCTGGTACGGGTTGGTCACATAGTGCTTATCTTCCAAAGCAGACAGATAAAGAGGGTTTAGTTGCCAGATGTGAGCCTGGCTTGGGGCCTGTAGGGAGAGACTGCTGAGGGAAGAACCAAGAGAAACTCACAGTCCAGGGCCACTGTCATCAGATCTCTAGGCAAAGCAGGTGTGGCCTGTTCTACCCTAATCCTGGCAGAGCTGTGCGCCACCTGTCCTGACAACTGCACACAAAACTCCCTGGAATGATGATCCAGTACACTGGGGGCCCGGCCCCGGGAGGCCCGCAGGGAACCCACCACACCAGCTGCCCTTCATCCCCCATCACTGACTTCACCTCTCCACCCAGCCCCCACACCAGCAAACCGGTCTACACTGCGTGCAATTAACTCCACCCGTGCAATGTATACTATTACTTCCCTCCCTGCCCCGCTCTTCTCACTTCAGACATATATATTTGAAGTGAAACTTAACAATCTAGCCCTTCTCTGGCCTCCTACACATCGGGTGGCCAGCTTCTGTCTCTTGCTGTGATCTCCTCTCAATGTGTATTGTCTTTGCTCCTCAGCTTGACTTGCAGTTGCTAGAAGACTGCAACCGTCCCTTAACCTTGTCGTTTCCAGAGGGTCTCTCTTAAAAGATGTCTTTTAAATTTAGATCTGTGTGTGTGTGTGTGTGTGTGTGAGAATGCCGAAGGACACGGTGATCATGCTCCACATTGAAAGAGATCAGCACCAGACAAAACTGGTCAACATCTGCTCATTTTGCACCGAGTGTCTTTCACCACGTTTGGGTGGTCAAGCACCAAACTGCTAGTGCTGCATTCCACACACTAAGTACAGCAGTGACATTAAGTTCTGAAGGGAAAAAACCCTACACTAACTGGGTCAGACCAGCCGCATTAAGGACAAAAGAAAAAGTGAAGCAGCCTCCCGAATGGCTGTCGGAAATGTTGTCGACCAAATTAACTGGGTTTCCTTCCTGAGTGTTACATGCAGGCGGCGTGCTACGAGCTTCACAGGCATTCTTTCATTTAATCTTCACAGTAGCCTAGGAAGTGGGTATTTCTCCATTTCACAAAGAAACGAAGGCGCGGAGAGCCCCAATAACTTCCTAAGGCTGGTGACCGGCAAGATAGGGACTCAAACCCAGATTTGTCTGACTTCACCATAACCCTTTACTGCCTGTCTAACTCAACTCCTAATGTAGATTCCCAGACCATAACCTGAAGATTCTCTTTCCTAAAGCAAGGATCAAAACCCCCAAAACCCAGATTTTTTTAAAGCAAAACAAGCACCTCTAGCCTGATCTCCCACTACTCTCCCCTTGGCTCATATCACCCTTAGAATAGAGCTTTCTTCTTGATCCTTCAACAAACAAGACATGCTTCTGCCCCAGGGTCTTTGCACTGGTTGCTCCCACTGCTTAGGGCTCTCTTCTCCAAGATATTTGCACAGCACATTCCCTTCCCTCCTTCATGCCTTTTGTGTAAGGCTCACTGTCCAAGTGAGGCTTTCCATCAATATGCTGTTTAAAATTTTCATCCATCTTCCTACCCCAGGACTTCCAATCCCTCTTGGCTTGTTCAAAGTTTTCTTTTAGGCGTAGCACTGATCACTAACATACTACATACCATAGTTATTATGTTCACTGTGTCCTCTCTCTAAAACACAGGCTCCATGAGAGTACGAATGTTTGTGTTTTGTTCACTGCCGTTTCCCCGGCACATAGTATGTGCTCAGCAAATACTTGCTGAATTAATGTTTTAAATGATTTACTAGCAAGAAAAACTGATAACCCCAGGTCAGTGCACTATGGGTTGGAGTACTCTTATAGTTCTGATCCACTCTGGGAGGCACTCAATCACCTGCTTAAGAATGGGAACGGAGTCTGGCCAGTGTGGCTCAGCAGTTGAGCGTTGACCCATGAAACAAGAGGTCGCTGGTTGGATTCCTAGTCAGGGCACTTGCCTGGAGCTGTAGGCTCGATCCCCAGTAGGGGGCATGCAGGAGGCAGCTGACTGATGTTTCTCTCTCTCTTATCGATGTTTCTATTCTACATTTCAGTCAGTCCATTCTAGCTCTGGGGGATGGGTCTGGGGGGGATGAGAGCTTGAGAAATATTTAAAAGACAGGGAGAAAAGATTCAATCATTGGGTGGATGTTTGGGGATGGTGGGAATATGACTGATCTGCAGGTTTTGGGGCTTGGTGACTGAACAGAGAGTGCTAGCAGTAATGGAGACAGAGCATAACAAAAGAATCCCATATGGAAGTGGACCTGGTTAAGTCTCCTCCACTTAGTTTAACATCCACTTTAGCAGTACTTTGACAAATAAAGCTCAACCAGGGGCATAAAACAGCAGAGTACAAACTAAGAGTCCTACAAGAAGATCATCACGTGTGTTCCCATTTTTCATTGCACTGAGCTGGCCTTTGAGGAAGCAGATTACTTTCTAGGGAAAAAGGCAGGAATATCTTATGGGTTAAAATTTCACATGGGTTAGAAATCGACTGAGCACTAGAAGATATATACCTACCAAGATTCCTATAGACTTCATTGACAATGAGTTGTTCCGCTTCTTTGGAAAATACCTTCAGAATTAGGTGTTTTTAAAAGGGCCCCATCCTAAAGATCCCCAAACAAAGGTTTACCAACAAGATAGATCCACGGACCCCCCCTTCCAAGACTGACAGTTTTACCCTCACACCTTACCTGGGGAGTTCTCTCGATTTAGCTTGGGTCTGCGGATGATCACAAAGTCCTTGTCATTCCCTTTACTCTTCAGGCGTTTTCTTGGGGGGCTCTGCGGGTGGCCCAGGTTTGAGAGCAGTTCCTGGGGGATATTCTCACTGTCCACCCCCTCCTTCTCCAGGGCGGAGACCCCCATGCCTGAGAGCAGCTCGGAGGTCTTGCTAGAATCCCATCCCCAAGTGAAGCTGGTGGTAACGTTGCTAGACTGGTCTGGGATCTCCTGGAGGTGTTTCCTGCAAAAATGCACAATAGCCCCTTTCCTTTGAGGAACACACCCATAAATAATTGGTAGGCCTAAAGGAAACTGTAAGTTATGCAATGTAAAAAACTTTCACAGCAGCTAACAGAACTGCATTTTTTACATGCCGGCGGCAAGTTCCCAAGAATGAAAGAGAAAATAACCGAACAAATCGAAAAGGCTTTTTGATTTACGATTCTGATTATGCAGAAGGCCTTATAAAGATTTCTTAAAGTGGAGGGAACAGACAAGGAAAGACGGAGGGAAATCATACAGCGATTCAAATCAGCAGCAGGCAAGCCCAATAGGGAAAGACAAATAAAACCACACTCTGATCCCCGCACTCAAGCATCCATCCATCCACGCGCTCCCCAAAGGGGGCTAAGAAACCATTCACATTTCAGCATGAGCAACAATTTTAGCAAGCAGCAATACTCGTGGCCTAAATGAATTAAAACGGTCCATTCATATTCTGCCCCTTTTTGTAATCAGTTTACCGGTGCATGGCGTCCACTAATTCCCGGATTTTAAATGGGTGCGTTTAATTGCAGATTTGCCCGCCTCCCGGATTCCCGCTTCGGAGCGCGGCGGGCCGAGGCGTGCGGCTGCGGCCCCTGCAGCTAGACCCGCCAACTCCAGCAACGTTCCATCCCCGCCGCGCGCGCTCGGCTCTTCTACTCGGGCTCCGCGGCCGCCGTCCGCGGCCCCGCGGCCTGCTGGGAGTTGTAGTTTCTGCCCCGCCTCGCAGTCCGGCGGGCTTCCCCCACGACTTCCTTCCCCTGCGGCTCCTCGGGCCCTTGAGGTACCCACAACCCCCCGCGGCGGCGGGGCG